GGCTTAAAAAAACACATGGTACATGGCAGTCATGGCACCCTAGACCCTTGATCATGGAACAAAATATATAATAGTCATGAATTATTATTTTGTTATTATTCGCGCCACTGTGTTTTAATAAGTGAAATTTTATATTCAAATACTTATGTATTTCTCTCCTACATGTGTTCCAATAAGTTTGGAGCATTTAAAGAACAGCAGAACAATAAAGAAGAACAAGACAATTGGAAAGCAGCTATTTTATGTCTCTTTCCAATATTTTGCGTCTTTATTTCATTCAAAATAACAAAATTGAACTGCCATGTTATGCTTTATTGTTAGCACAGATCATTGATCTGTGCTTGTTACAACCTACAGTAAAATATAAAATGCAAACAGAAAATGATATATAAGTTTCGTTCGGTATTGATATCTAGACTGGATGCTCTGATTGATGTTTTGTCCTTTTTTAATTGTAACAGATGAAAACACAAAGAAATACTACAATTAATTAGCATAAATTATTATACAGTTGATTAACAAAGTTAAAATACACAAAATCTTGAGACCCCTATTATACCTACCAAAGAAGCCGACGTTGAGATGGTCAACTGTATAGTGTATATTAATCTGTGCAGTTAATAACCTTTTTTCGCAAGTGAAGTCGTATGCTGTAGTATGTGTTTATGAAGAGATTTAAACAACCATATACCCATATACCATATATGTAAATTACATACAGGGTCGGAAAGTCCCCATGGTTCATCGGCCGTTACGTGCGAGCGATAAAGAAAGTCATAGAAATCCGTGCGATAGAGAAATAAGATTCACTTCTTATTTGTGGAAGGGCGAAATGGGCGGTGACTATTAGACGCCTTCATTATAGCCATCTTTCTCTATCGCACGGATTTCCATGACTTACTTTATCGCTCCACGTAACGGGCGATGAACCATGGGGACTTTCCGATCCTGTATATGCATATACCATGTGACAACAAAAGAGATAGAAATAGTAATTACAAAACATATTCACTATTCACCAATATTCAGTAGGGAAAAAAAGCCTAATGTCTATTTAGAATCCGTATAAGTTTTGTGAACGCGCCCCTGTGCCCACCACCACGTGCCGGTCCCTCATCTTTCTTTGTTCTGCTTTCGATATGATGTCAGCTGTCAATTTTAATGTTTTTATTTATTTGAGTATTTGCGACATTTGCGAGATTTCAAGTGATTCGGGGTATTAATCTTAAATATTCCAATTGGAATTGACCACTGTCAGAAAATGGTTAATATTATCGCAATTCCCTTTGTTTTATACCTTCCAGAAGTTGCATTGGAGAAAATATTTTCATTTTTAACATATGATCAGATAGCTAAGAATAGAATTGTAAGTAGAAATATTCATTAATCCTATTTATATCCTATCTGATTTTTACATATTTATGTCATATTAATTTTGTAAAAACTGGTGATGACCTTAAATTGCCCTTTTCCTTTTACTACCTTAGGGATTTTTATGTTTTTATGGTCCCTAGTTTTTGACGTCATTTTTCTAACCTATTACAAAACGGCGGGAATAGGTTTTCAGTATATCAGTTATCTATTAAAAAGTATTAAAAGTGAATAAGTGTGCAATAAATAATTATAATAATATGTCTGAGAATGACGACTTGTTAGCTAATCTATTGTCAGTGGCTACAGAAGAGCTAAACAATTTGAGTAAAAACAACTTAAAAGAAGCGGATATATTTAAACAGGAAAGCAATTTAATAACAAATAAAATCTGTGGGAATGATTCACGCAGCCTTATACACAAAGGAGACACGGATTCTTCTGAAGACGAAGAAAATAGGATACAGGAAAAAAAATACAATGAATTTGGTAGGAACATCAAACAACAATTACAGACTACATCAAGTTCCTACGATAAACAACAAGGCTCATCTTGGAAAATGAAATCATCTTTTATATCTTCCGCTCAAACCCCAATATCCTCATTATCAAAAAGGTCTAACGAGCCTGCAAAACGTGATGATATATATACAGATCCTATTTTTGGTATGCGTATTGTCAAACCTTTAATATCATCTGCTACTTTGAAAGAACGCATGGTTGGTCGAGAAGCTGTACCTTTTGCGAGAATAAATAACTATCTACAAACATGTCATAAAGAAAAAGATTGGGTAATTGCTGGAGTGATAGCAAATAAAAGTGCTGTTAAAACTTCACAAAAAGGGACTCAATTCTGTATATGGACTTTAACTGATCTTAAAAATGACATCAAAACAATTTCGCTTTTTTTATTTAGCAAAGCTCATAAAGAGCTATGGAAAACTGTTGTTGGAACTATTGTTGGCGTTTTGAACCCTAACGTTTTAGATAGAAAAGATGGATCTAAGGATGAGGTTAGTAATACATTTTTTAACATTTATTATATAATTTTATTCATTACATGTATTTTAGGCATGTTTAAGTGTCGATAATCCCCAAAGGGTATTAATACTTGGCCTATCAAAGGATTTTGGAACTTGCAAAAGTTTGAAAAAAAATGGCGAACAATGCAATGCAATAGTAAATCTAAATCAATGTGAATATTGCATATATCATATTAAACAAGAATATCAGAAATGTAGTAAGAGATCTGAACTTCAAGCAAATTTTGTAGGAAGGGGCTTAACTGCCTTGAGGAATAAGGTGCTCGGTAAAAATGAAGTGTTTTATGCCGGTAAATCATATATGGCGATACCTGCTAAGAAAAGTAAAAAATTGGAGGTTAGGGACAGCAGTCGACTTGTAAGCTTAAGTGGGAAGAGTACAAATATAATATCAAATAACAAAAAAGTAAAAAATACAAATATGTCAAAAAAAATGAATGCTGCTAGATTAGATGTATCACCAGCACAAAAATTACGGGATATGGAACTATTGAAAAAATTAGAAGGTAGTTTTGGACTTGAAACAAAGAATTCCTTTTCAGGAAAACATTCTGCAGATGTATCTTTAAAGGAATCTAAGAATTTGGCAATGAATGTGATTGATAAAATTAAATCAAAAAATAGTATACCGAATACTTTAAAAGATAATGACACTTCTATTATAAATGAATTAGTTGTATCTAAAGACATTGATAGTAACCAAACTCTGTTAAATAAGAGTGATACTTTAGAGGGCAATAAGCAAGTCGGTGAGAACATAAATACTTTACATATAGATTACTCTTCTATAACGCCTACACTAAATGCTTCTTCTGTATATAATAAGGAGAGTTCGAAAGAGACTATTTCTTCACAATCAAGAAGCAATCAATTTTCAATGCAACAGTTAACATGTCGCACCTTCGCTTCAAAAGTGTCACAACTCAAAAAATTCAATTTTTGACATAATACCACCATTGATTTTGATTTTCAGTTAGTTGCAGTTAAAATGGTTCCAAAATGCTATTTGGTTTTTGGCCCCTTTGCTGAAACCTTTATAATCATCAATAATGTTTTTAAACAATTTAGTTACTTTTGTCGCTAGAGCTTTTTCATCTTTTCTGAAAAATGAAGGATTTTGACTTGTGACACTTTTGAAGCAAGGGTGCGATGTGACAAAGATATGTTTCCAGTGTTGTCCCATAGTGGATTAAACACTGTTATAGATTTGAACACACCAATAACTAATAAACTAGAAAATAGAGCTAAATTAAATGCAATAAAGTTTGTACAAAAAAATGGGAGCATAAAAAAGACAGATCCCAACAGTACCAGAACCTACGGTAGGAAAAGGACTATTGAGGAGGTTGAGAAATCCGAAAGTATTTCTAAGAAAAGTAAATTAGCCGACAGTGAATTTATATCTGATCGTTTTAAAAAAATGATGGAGACGACGTCCAAACACACAGATTTATTGGAATGTAGAGATGACGAAGAAAAAGAAAAGTATTTTAAGAAGTTGGAAATTAAGGAAAAGATGGAGGAAAAAATGATTAATACCCATAAAGTGCCGTGTAAAGCTGTTCAATGTCTTAAATGTAAATATACCAGTTTTTCCGCCTCTGACCTTTGTAAAAGTGAAAGACACCCATTAAAAGTTTTTGACGCTATGAAAAGATTTTTTAAATGTGGAGATTGTGGCAATAGAACAGTTACATTAAAAATTATTCCAGTCGGTCCATGTAAAAATTGCCAAAGTGGAAATTGGCAAAAATCTGGCATGATGAAAGATAAATCCGTTTTAACCCATTCACTTTCAATAAGAGGGGGAGAACAAAAGTTTGTAAATTCTGTTGTAACGGATCAAAACATAAATTTGTTAGTGCCTATGGATGATTAATTTAAAACAATATTTAAACTTTAATTTAGTTTTAAATAAGTTGTATGTATTAATATAACATAATTTACAACCAGGATCCTACAAACANTTTTCCAATGTGTGTTTCATTTTGCTCTGAAAAGGATTGCTCCTGCTCGGATTCGGAGTGCTCCGTAACAGAACTTATAACGTCACAGATTGCACTCAGAGCACTCTGAGAGCAACATAATAGAATACACTATGACTTTATCGCTCCACGTAACGGGCGATGAACCATGGGGACTTTCCGATCCTGTATATGCATATACCATGTCACAGAATTATAACAATTCTGTGACCATGTGACAACAAAAGAGATAGAAATAGTAATTACAAAACATATTTACTATTCACCAATATTCAGTAAGGAAAAAAAGCCTAATGTCTATTTAGAATCCGTATAAGTTTTGTGAACGCGCCCCTGTGCCCACCACCACGTGCCGGTCCCTCATCTTTCTTTGTTCTGCTTTCGATATGATGTCAGCTGTCAATTTTAATGTTTTTATTTATTTGAGTATTTGCGACATTTGCGAGATTTCAAGTGATTCGGGGTATTAATCTTAAATATTCCAATTGGAATTGACCACTGTCAGAAAATGGTTAATATTAACGCAACTCCCTTTGTTTTATACCTTCCAGAAGTTGCATTGGAGAAAATATTTTCATTTTTAACATATGATGAGATAGCTAAGAATAGAATTGTAAGTAGAAATATTCATTAATCCTATTTATATCCTATCTGATTTTTACATATTTATGTCATATTAATTTTGTAAAAACTGGTGATGACCTTAAATTGCCCTTTTCCTTTTACTACCTTAGGGATTTTTATGTTTTTATGGTCCCTAGTTTTTGACGTCATTTTTCTAACCTATTACAAAACGGCGGGAATAGGTTTTCAGTATATCAGTTATCTATTAAAAAGTATTAAAAGTGAATAAGTGTGCAATAAATAATTATAATAATATGTCTGAGAATGACGACTTGTTAGCTAATCTATTGTCAGTGGCTACAGAAGAGCTAAACAATTTGAGTAAAAACAACTTAAAAGAAGCGGATATATTTAAACAGGAAAGCAATTTAATAACAAATAAAATCTGTGGGAATGATTCACGCAGCCTTATACACAAAGGAGACACGGATTCTTCTGAAGACGAAGAAAATAGGATACAGGAAAAAAAATACAATGAATTTGGTAGGAACATCAAACAACAATTACAGACTACATCAAGTTCCTACGATAAACAACAAGGCTCATCTTGGAAAATGAAATCATCTTTTATATCTTCCGCTCAAACCCCAATATCCTCATTATCAAAAAGGTCTAACGAGCCTGCAAAACGTGATGATATATATACAGATCCTATTTTTGGTATGCGTATTGTCAAACCTTTAATATCATCTGCTACTTTGAAAGAACGCATGGTTGGTCGAGAAGCTGTACCTTTTGCGAGAATAAATAACTATCTACAAACATGTCATAAAGAAAAAGATTGGGTAATTGCTGGAGTGATAGCAAATAAAAGTGCTGTTAAAACTTCACAAAAAGGGACTCAATTCTGTATATGGACTTTAACTGATCTTAAAAATGACATCAAAACAATTTCGCTTTTTTTATTTAGCAAAGCTCATAAAGAGCTATGGAAAACTGTTGTTGGAACTATTGTTGGCGTTTTGAACCCTAACGTTTTAGATAGAAAAGATGGATCTAAGGATGAGGTTAGTAATACATTTTTTAACATTTATTATATAATTTTATTCATTACATGTATTTTAGGCATGTTTAAGTGTCGATAATCCCCAAAGGGTATTAATACTTGGCCTATCAAAGGATTTTGGAACTTGCAAAAGTTTGAAAAAAAATGGCGAACAATGCAATGCAATAGTAAATCTAAATCAATGTGAATATTGCATATATCATATTAAACAAGAATATCAGAAATGTAGTAAGAGATCTGAACTTCAAGCAAATTTTGTAGGAAGGGGCTTAACTGCCTTGAGGAATAAGGTGCTCGGTAAAAATGAAGTGTTTTATGCCGGTAAATCATATATGGCGATACCTGCTAAGAAAAGTAAAAAATTGGAGGTTAGGGACAGCAGTCGACTTGTAAGCTTAAGTGGGAAGAGTACAAATATAATATCAAATAACAAAAAAGTAAAAAATACAAATATGTCAAAAAAAATGAATGCTGCTAGATTAGATGTATCACCAGCACAAAAATTACGGGATATGGAACTATTGAAAAAATTAGAAGGTAGTTTTGGACTTGAAACAAAGAATTCCTTTTCAGGAAAACATTCTGCAGATGTATCTTTAAAGGAATCTAAGAATTTGGCAATGAATGTGATTGATAAAATTAAATCAAAAAATAGTATACCGAATACTTTAAAAGATAATGACACTTCTATTATAAATGAATTAGTTGTATCTAAAGACATTGATAGTAACCAAACTCTGTTAAATAAGAGTGATACTTTAGAGGGCAATAAGCAAGTCGGTGAGAACATAAATACTTTACATATAGATTACTCTTCTATAACGCCTACACTAAATGCTTCTTCTGTATATAATAAGGAGAGTTCGAAAGAGACTATTTCTTCACAATCAAGAAGCAATCAATTTTCAATACAACAGTTAACATGTGACAAAGATATGTTTCCAGTGTTGTCCCATAGTGGATTAAACACTGTTATAGATTTGAACACACCAATAACTAATAAACAGAAAAATAGAGCTAAATTAAATGCAATAAAGTTTGTACAAAAAAATGGGAGCATAAAAAAGACAGATCCCAACAGTACCAGAACCTACGGTAGGAAAAGGACTATTGAGGAGGTTGAGAAATCTGAAAGTATTTCTAAGAAAAGTAAATTAGCCGACAGTGAATTTATATCTGATCGTTTTAAAAAAATGATGGAGACGACGTCCAAACACACAGATTTATTAGAATGTAGAGATGACGAAGAAAAAGAAAAGTATTTTAAGAAGTTGGAAATTAAGGAAAAGATGGAGGAAAAAATGATTAATACCCATAAAGTGCCGTGTAAAGCTGTTCAATGTCTTAAATGTAAATATACCAGTTTTTCCGCCTCTGACCTTTGTAAAAGTGAAACACACCCATTAAAAGTTTTTGACGCCATGAAAAGATTTTTTAAATGTGGAGATTGTGGCAATAGAACAGTTACATTAAAAATTATTCCAGTCGATCCATGTAAAAATTGCCAAAGTGGAAATTGGCAAAAATCTGGCATGATGAAAGATAAATCCGTTTTAACCCATTCACTTTCAATAAGAGGAGGAGAACAAAAGTTTGTAAATTCTGTTGTAACGGATCAAAACATAAATTTGTTAGTGCCTATGGATGATTAATTTAAAACAATATTTAAACTTTAATTTAGTTTTAAATAAGTTGTATGTATTAATATAACATAATTTACAACCAGGATCCTACAAACACTTTTAGGTATATGAAATGTATTTTTTCTTAAGTAAAGTTAGTTTTTATCGTTTATATATTTTCGTTTTTATTTAAAAACCTTCCTTTCCCCCTCTTTAAAAAAAATAAAGGTTGTTTCTGGTAATCCACCCTTAATTTCACTAAGACGATTCGTCAGTAGTCGTTTTCTTTGTAAATACACTACCAATAAATTGTGAACATGAAATTGAAGATTAGTGAGAGATGATGTGGATAAACTTTAAACAAGTTCAAATTGGCCAATAGACTTGAAATCTCTATATGCCGAAAATCTTCCTATCAAAAACACTGACAAGATGAATTTTTGCTTTGTCTACAGTTACAAAAATTATTATTTAGTCACATCTATATAATAGAATATTTTCAGTTATAAATATGAATTGTGCACAGTTTTAGTGAAGTTAGGTCATCCATGGCCAGAGAGCAGCATGATCAATGTCATTAGATCTAAAAAAAAAAGTATACCTTAAAAAGAGGTAAATTGTTACTGTTTTAACTTATAATAGTGTAATAAAAAGATTATACGTAATAATCCTGATGTCCAAATGTCAAAATTTGTGAGCAATAGTCAGCCTTTATTTTGACTTATCTGATTAGCGTAGCTTATAGGCTATTGACTATGTCAAAAGAAAGAGGGTACAAAGGAACTACAACGTAACAGAAAATTTATTGTTTGATATGTTCAATTGACCCTAAACAATGATAAAACCGCGGAGTGCTACCTTTTAAAAAGGTGCGTTTTTGAGAACGAAGAAAGGTGGTATGTTCAGTTTTTTGAGTTTTACTCGAAAACTGCATTTTTTCACTATAGTTGTCAAAAGGAAAGTTGTAGGAAATTAATTTCCCAGTGAAATGAGATCTGAAGTCAAAAAAATTTATTTAATGCCCAAAAAACGAGTAAAAAAATATATCCAATCACCTAGAAACTTATTTTAACTTTCACATTCACAATAATAAATTTATTAGACAAAATAATACCGAAAGTAATAAAAATTTTATAAAAATAAGAGAAAGTATCATTGGTTAAATTGACATATCTCGGTTGATTTTAATTGTACAAGCTTCTACCAGGCACCATTTTAAAGGCCTTGAAAACAGCTTTCATTTGAATATGGCATTACATATACCTAAGTTAACTCAGAAAAAAGTTATGTCAAAAAAGGGCAAAAATTGGCCAAAAATCCAAAAAGTAGCCAACTTTTTTTATAAACTTATTTTAAAGGAAAAAACATGAATTTTTTTTCTGTGGAGCAATGCCTATACCAAACTCAGAAAAAAGTTGTAGGCCAAAAACAAAAAAAAAACGCATTCTTTCGGTTTTTTTTGACTCGTTTTTTGGGCATATTTTTGTTAAAAATACATTTTTTGACTTCAGAAGGTTTCGATAGGAAATTGAATTTGCTACAACTTTTCCGTTGACAACTATAGTGAAAAAATGTATAGTTTTCGAGTAAAACTCAAAAAACTGAACATACAACCTTTTTACTTCAATCTCAAATCGCACCCCTTTAAAAGCACTCCGCGGTTTTATCATTTTTTAGGGTCAATTGAACATATCAAACAATAAAATTTCTGTTACGTTGTAGGTCCTATCTATCCTATTATAAAATCAATGATTTATAGGTGTACAGGATGTTAACATAGTAAAAAAAAATAATAAATATTTTTTATTAAATACATAGACCTAAATGATTCCAGCGTAGCAATAGGCCGCTCTGTAAATCTCCACAGATCTAAACTGCCTGAGGGAAGCCTCCACACTATTATCAAAAAATTGTGATAATTCAGTTTATTTGAGAAGTCGTGCAAATATCAAGACATCCATCCTGCCAGATATTTGGCCTACACAGGTGGTTAGATTTACTACACCTTTTTGGTTTAGCTTGTTCAGACTGTACAGGCTGTTAGATCACCAACTGGAGTAATGGCTGAGACCTTTATGAATGCGCATATTAGTTGAGAAAATAAAGTACTAAAAACGAACCTTACCTCCGAAATCTGTGCAGTAAGATGGATCGTGATGCGGTTTTTTGCGTTCGATTCGTTACAGCATGCAGAAAGTTTGTGACCCTGGTATGTGATCAATGAGAAATGAAAATTGCATCGGTGCATAAGAAAAATGCATTTTTAAAATTGCATCTCGAAGAATTAAAATATGAAAAATTTATAACTCGGAAAATATTGACGGAAATGAGTTCAATTTTGCTACTCGGGGGTTTTTGAGGTCGCTGAATACGGCAATGGTCTCCGAGGTACCTACTACCCAGGGTGGCCAGTTTCCACATCGTCCTGGAGTTTTGGGGAAATTCGTTGTAAACTTAGCCGAAACTCGTTACCTCGGGGTTTTTGAGATCGCTCAACATGAATATCACGTCAGTAACAGTCTTCGAGGTACCTAGTACCCAGGACGGCTGGTTTCTGTGACAACTATTTTTTTATTATAAAAATACTTTTATTCATTACAAAAAATACATGTTTTCAAAAAAATATAAATACATATATTTACAAATTTTCTTATTTCACGTGTGCGTTATAACTAGGAGAGTATCTGTTTATGTATACTAGTATGTGTAAGAGTATATACAGGTTTGGAAAGTCCCCATGATACATCGGCCGTTACGTGAGAGCGATAAAGTAAGTCGTAGAAATCCATGCGATAGACAAGGATGTTTACATTGAAGACGTTTCATAATCTGAATAATCACTCCCACTTCTAACCCGAAACGGGCGGTGACTATTCAGATTATGAAACGTCTTCACTATAACCATCCTTGTCTGTCGCACGGATTTCTTTACTTTGTCGCTCTCATGTAAAGGCAGATGGACCATGTGGATTTTCCAGCCCTGTATATTAGTATATATGTAAGAGGAAAACGTAGAGGCAGCAGCTAGCGATCGCAGTCCTTACCTAAAATTTCATCAATGCTACCAACTGTATTAAAAAGCACTAAATTTAAAAAAAATGTTTCGGATAATTTATTTAGATATTCAATAAAGCTTATGAAGATGACATCGGTACCTCGGAGACCATTACCGTTGTGATATTCTTGTTGAACTACCCCAAAAACCCCAAGATAACGAGTTTCGGCTAAGTTTATAAAGAATTTCCACAAAACTCCAGGAGACGACATGAAAACCGGCCACCCTGGGCACCTTTTTGGCGTCAGCGACGCCAAAAACCCCTGAGTAGTAAAATTGAACTTATTTCCATCGATATTTTCCGAGTTATAAATTTTTCATATTTTAACTCTTCGAGATGCAATTTTAAAAATGCATTTTTCTTATGCATCGCTGCAATTTTCATTTCTCATTGATCACATAGGGTCACAAACTTTCTTCACGCTCTAACGAATCGAATGCAAAAAACCGCATCACGCCATCTTATTGCACAGATTTCGGAGGTTCAGTGCTTCATTTCCTCGACTATATTTGGAGACTATATATACATCCCTTAAAGTTACAAATCCTAAACTTGTTACAATTGTTTTTAGGTGTAAATTTTACAAAAAACACTATTTTTTATTCAAAATTTGGTAACACTGTGTTATTATACACCCCTTAAGGGGGTCCTCCAGTTTCTCGAGTCGAAAAAATCGAATTTTTTTTTTCATAAATCACATTTACAACGTGTAGAAATTGTGTACCAAAGGATTTTTCGATATTCGAAGTGGTTAACAAGTCACGGCCCTGGAATGGAGCAGGTATACGGAGCGCGTGCAACGCTGCTCCGTAAAGCCGAGCGGCGCTGACCATTATATTGATATCCCTAAATCTAACTGAATCGCGAAAAGAGAAGACGGAGCAGCTCTGCGTGACTTCCAAGAAGAAGAGGAAGGCCTACTGTATGGTCCAGGCATAGCAGATTGAGGGTGAGATGAAATTTTTATTATAAATCACATGCGCGAATTTTGAAACGCGTTTTTCTCGAAACACTATTTTTCAAAACGGTGACCATGATATTTCAGAAACTACTGCACCGATCTTGTTCAAATTTATACAACATCTTTAATATGTTATAAGCCAGCGATTGAACTAGGATTATCATGATTGCTTCGATAGTTTTTTTCTACGAGCGAGAAACTTAAGAAAAAATGAGTAAAAAATAGAATTTAATTTTCAAAAGTGTATAAAAAATTTAATTTTTGTAATTTAGAATTCATTCTAGTTCAATCGCTAGTTTTAAATATGAAGATTAAAATGCCGTTTGGTTTTTTGATTTCAGATAAGCAAAACAGCCGCAATCTTGGTCACCGTCAAGCACCTCCTTCACTTGATGTCTTCCAATCGGCCACTATAACTTTGATTCTATTATATATTTTGTCTTCAAAAAATTTGTAAAGCTCATTTAAATGTTAATAAAGATAATGTAAAAACAATGAGATTTATTATTTCGAAGGTTTGCCCGTAAAAAATTTTTGAAAAAAGCCGTAAAAAAAACACCGAGAAACTAGAAGACCCCCTTAACTTAACCCAATTATTAAAGATTCATTGTTCAAAAAAAAGCAAACATGTTTTAACATTAATTCAGAAAAAAATAAATAACTAGTTGAAATAATGTTACCAAATTTAAAAATGAATATACTTATAGGAATTGGTATGGGAGTATTTCGAGGGATGAAGAATAATATATTGTTACATTGTGGATAAAAAACAAATACAATTTTCCAAAAAATAGCAGGTATAATTTGTTCTTTCTTTGGATAGTAATAGATCTCCTCAATTTTCAGGTGTGTAAAAAGTTTAATGAAATTGGTAGTAAACTATTGTCAAGAGGCTTTATTCAGCTAGAAAAAAGACATGCAGCTATTTATAAGCGGGTTAAATCCCTGTTACCTCGAAGAGAATCGGAAAGAAGAGCACATCCATTGGCTAGACATTACGATATACTTCAAGCTGTTGAAACAAGGATTAGTATGTTAAAATTGTTAAACATGACATACAATAAATATATTGAAAATAACCTTCTTTGTTTTGTTCCTGGCAAGGTAAATAAATATTTTTGTATTAAATTAATTATTAAATAAATTTCTAGTCTACTCACCCAGATATATAGAATGAAAAAAATTTATATTTATTGATATAATCTTAATTCTCGTCAAGAGATATGGTTGTATAAAGAAAAACTGTATATAATTTTTTTATAGGTTTTGGATGAAATGAAAAATGTTTTAGCTCTTGTCGAGAGTGATCAAACACCTCCTCGTACCCACCAATTATTACAAGAACTGCGAGATTTAACCAGCATGGCTATGGAACATTTTGATGAGCACATACTTCCTAGAGTAAAGGAACAAATAGATCGAAGATCAGGTAATAAGAAATTACTAAGAAACATCCATGAAATATATAGGCAGGGTGCGTAGTCTTGAATTGTGATTTATAAATATTATTTTGAATAGCCAACTTTTCCACTCAAATCAGGCTATTAAAATAATAACTTTTCTGATTATTTGAATAGATAAAGGATTATTTTTATTTATGAAATTTATACTAAAAAGTATGTTTTATGTGCATGTTGGAGACATCAAATTCATAGTATATTATGCTCTAAAGCTCTATATGCTCTATATAAATGTAAATTTATTCCCTGAGATTAAAAACGAAACATTATTCCCTGAAAATAGAGACTAAAAGAATACTGAATGTAAAGAAATGTTTGAACTTTTGTCTTATTATCATCTTGTGACATTGAATATAAAATATTTGTTGCAAATAAAATTATTATTTTGTTTTAGCTCTTTCCTATGGGGCAGTGCCATCATGTTCTAAATCTCCAAAAATATTATATGCTCAACATGCATTATCCAATGAACTACATAAAGTAAAAAAACAGAGCAAAACTCATAAACATCATATTTCATATCTAACACAAAGTACCCAGAAGCTATGTCAAAAGGTAAGTTGTTAGAAAAACTTTTATATCGGATGGGTACATTCCTGTGTGGAAACTTTTTCTTGGACAATCCTGTATAAAAACAACTGGATTAATTGTTATCTAGAAATTTGATATTTTAACAAGAAATTACCTCCTCTTTATAGTTAAGGAAGCAGAATATGCGTCTAAAGGCACAATCCTTAAAAATCAAGGAACAAGAAAGAAAAATTCAAGAACAAAATACAAAGATTATGGAACAAGAAGCTACGTTGGCAGATATTAAAAAACACATCGATGAATGGGATCAAAAGTATACAGATCTTACTACTGAACTTGTACGAGCTAGAGACGACATATTATCAGCAGCATCCCATAGTTCTACGTCTAATTCAGTGCAGACTTCACCACCAAAATTTTACAAAACTAACATAAAGCCTCGCGTGGCACATATTTTACCAAAAAGTTATGTAGCACTTCAGTTTGACTTGGAAAGGAAGCGTAAATCAAATTTACTTCCCAAAATACCCGTAAAACGTAACAGAAGTCCAGAGAAGGATGAAAAGAATATATCTAATACTCATAAAAAAGATGATGTGAATTTAAATATACCAGACCTTATCGACTTCAAGAATGAAAAGAACGGTAAAAATGATGAAAAACAAGAAATTAAAGGAAGATTTGTTAGAAGTGATTTAAGTTCTATTATTAGTAATTCACTTGAAAATTTATTAAAAAATCCTTTAACCAACATCAAGTCAAGAAAAAGAAAAATGGCAGATGAAATTGATCTGAAATAATTCATTTTTGAGCTTTAATTCTGCGAATTTATACCCAACGTGAAGTACATGAATTCTGAAAATTCGCCAGTTAGTAATTAGGACTAATTTTAATAAATGATAAGTAACACATTACTCATGTAATAATTTTTGTTACCTTTAAATATAAAAAAATAAAAGATTATTATTTAAGGTTTTGTGTTGTTTTGTTTTGACATGGCATCGTAGACATGCGTGATATAATTGTACTTTGCATTGTTGTTAAAGTTTATCGGCTTGTAGAAAAATAACTAATCTACATTTTTTCTTCAAATTTGGTACACAATATTGTGGGGGATGCAAAATAATCCTACGATGTTATTTTTTCGATAAAAAAACTATTTAAACAGCATCCAATAAAATATCGTAGCAGGCGTGGAAATCGGAAATCAATAATTGATCACATAAAAATTAGTTCTGCTCGATTCCAGTAGCCTACTATATTTGAGGGGTTAACACGAAAAACTAGACACATTTATTACACCTACGTATGCGTCACCTTTTTTGAAAAATCAGTTGTAAGTTGGTCATGTAATTTATATTCCCATTTTAACATGTTGAAAGTTTTCTACGTCTACATAGAAATCAGCATTTAAAAACTTAATGACTATCAAAATATGACCATTTTAATTTTCTGCAACCATCACTGAAAGATGAACATCATTTTTTAGGTCAGCCATTGTTTGCACCAGTTTTAGTGCCCAAATTTTGAATTTTTTAGTATTTGCTTTCTCATTACTTTTATAATTGTATAGATAAGCCATTTTTTTGCCAAGGTCGATCCAAACACTATCATAATTACATTCTTAGATGCAGGCAATTTTTATAATTAAAACCAACTTACCTCTATTAATTAAGATATTGGACTGAAGTCAGTACTGTACATGTATGTTGACCAAAGTCTTTATTATCCTATAACACTCTTGGTGCCTACTAGTCTGTTACTATATTTGAAACTTTTTTATTTTGTTTTTATTTAATCTGGTATGATATTAATATAAGTTACTTAGATCAGCGGGGTATTCAATCAGGGGTATGTATACCCCCTTAAGGGGGGTACATGAAGACGTCTTAAGGGGTTCGCGAAGGGATTTCTTAGGATACCTACATGCATAGAGAGGGAAAATAATAAGTTAATAACAATTAATCTATTCCATTAATTTCCAATATTCCACAATATTTTATAACTTTTTATTTGGTTATTCAAAAAATGAAACCTCCAATTACTTTGAGTTATCTGATAGCATAGCTTATATTATGTAAATGATCTAAGTAACTTTTCTACTTTTCGTCATTCAAAATAAGATAAGTAAAGTAAGCCTAGATCCACATGCATACGTGATCATGGATCCGTTATAACAAAACAATGTGATCATCACCATGCAATCCATTTTGACCTTGATGGAGTGTCAAGTTGCTTTACTGATGCGTAATTGGATGTTGATGGTCAGGTGGTTACAACGGATCCGCGATTACGCATGCATGTGGATCCAGGCTAATTCCGCTGTTTAAAAAAATTCTTGAGTTTCATTCTGTGAAAAATAGTACATACCTTATTCTTGTTTACCTTTCGACTGCACAATATTTTGTAACACTTGTCTATTTGCAAAAGACCAATTTAAATGATTTTTTTCATATAATCATTAAACCCTGAATAATCATTAGAATATTTTGGGTTTAATGAATTAAGCAGACTGAAAAAGACAATGAGCAATTTGTAACAGGAAAAGTTCTGAAGGAGAGAATAGATTTTGAAGCTATCAGTCATTCTCGCTTTAGGCACACAGGGTGTAACTAAAATACTTTTTACCAAATTTTAAAGACAGTTTCTCTGGCCTTCCAAAAATTGTTCCTTTACTGCATATTGCTGGAATGAACCATTTTAGAGATAAATAATGAAATTTTAAGCCATTTATTTGAATTAGATCATTTAAATAAGATGGAGTGTCGTATTTCAAGACAATAGTAACTGCGGCAATGGATGTACGAAACATATCCACAGAGCATTCAATTTTTTTTAAATCCACTAGTATATGAAGGCTTTACAAAGATACGTAAACACTATTTTTCGACATGTCGCCTTCAACCTCAATACACTGTGAGAGAGATGTAGGCTATTGAATATAGGATTTTAAAAGGAACTATGACGTTCATGATATTTTATTACATGAATCGTTCAAATGGTCATTTTAGTTGAAATAACCGCGGAGTGCTATTAAATTAGAGGGTGGATATTGGAGATAGGGAAATGCACCCCTTTCAGTTTTTTAATTGTAGCTCGAAAACTAAGCAAAATTTCGCTATATAATAGGAAAAATTATTTAGAGAATTGAATTTCCCATTGAAATAGCTTATTCAAAAATTAAAAAAAAAATCGTTAATAAACAATTTTAAAATAAAAATTTCAATTCTGACTTACTCTATATGTATATAGCTATTTTCCACCTCAAAAATTGAAATTTTGAATTTAAAATTTGTATTAGGACATTATTAGAGGTTATAAACAGATTTATAAAAATGTGTAAAATAATTATGCAAAACCGTACTTATCTTATCAACTTCGACGTCACCTGTTACATGGGTGTTGTATAATAATGAAAAAGTAATATTAACGATTGGTAAAAGAAAGTGCAAAAACTAGCGCTTAGGTAGGGAATTCTGGAAGGAAGTAAGTTAAAGATAGGGAGTCGAAGTGAGAACAGTGTGCAGATAGGTAGCAAGACGATCGGCGGGCAGTGTGACAAAGTAGTGTAAAATTAAGTGTTTAACCGGTATTAGTTAGCAGGTAATATTCTTTAAGTACTTTGTTGTTGTTCTATATAATCTTATGATTGTGATGGTTATAGATGTTTCATGATAATAATTCTTTGTATGTTTAGCTTTCATTGTCTTACGCTCAGGGGCGTATATTTTTCTAAGATAAAATTGTTACAATTATTATTAAGGATTGCTCATTATTTATTACATGTTAAAATATGTATATTTTGTCGTGACTGCTCAGATATTGCAATAGCAACTTCTTTGTCTCACTTTTAACTTGTTTTATCACGATTACGTTGTTCTTTGATGTCTTGTTCTCACTTTATGTCATACGCATATAAGAACTTTGTTGAATTTACTAACATTTTCGCCCTTGATTATTATTATCGTTGTTGTTCTCCGAAATCTCAACTCATAGCTGGATTTCCTCCCGTATGGGACTCCAGTACCTTACCTATTATTATTGTTGTTGTTGTTATTATTACCTTCCAGCCCTGCCGGCTAACTAACACCAAACCTCTTCAGTTTTACTTGGAAGTGTGTCTGTCTAATTTGAGTGAGATGACATTTAGTGAGAAATTAAATAAGTCCAGNATTTGAAGACTGTTGTATGTAAATAATAAAGTTAGGTGTATTTACTCTGCTTTTGTTTTATAAAATTAAATCATACATCCCCTCAAAAAAAGTTAGTAGCCAGCGCGTTCCGGTCAATAAAAAAATAGATACACACAACGTAGGTATTCCTTACGACGATCACATGTTTTTGGCCACAACTACGTTTATTTCTTTTTTTCGATCGAACCTAGGTTTGTTATACTACATAATAAATAATGGTACTTCTCTCTTGAGTATTTTCGTGTTTTTTTAATTTATGAGCACCCTGTATATCTAATCTAAGATGTTTGTATGACAGTCTCATTTTTTCGAGGGGCAGAATTTTTTATAAAGTGACATTTTTCGATAAAGTCAAAAACAAAAGATTTCTCTTGTCAACTCCATCCATGGACACACTGTATATACATTATTAATATACTTGATTGTACTTAAATTCTCGAGTTTTTACTAAATTATTTTATTGAAAAATTAAAAAATAAATCAAAAAATCTTATCTTTTACTTTCTTTAAAATTGTTTATTATCGATTTTTTGCATGCAANTGATAGCGATTACTCGTCACTAAAGGAGCGGACAATGAGAGGCTATTCGATTCAAACACTATAATACAAGTGTGAAGACCAACTCAGAGATGCTTTTCGTGGCAAATCTCGACTGAGAGTGAGCTACCGAGGCAAAACTCGGCGGTTATTTAATGAATAGCGGTCGGACTGCAAACTGGACATCGAGTGCTCCGCAACCTACTGTTCAAAAAGGCCCCTGGCAAGAAATCACGGGGCGCAATGTTGGATTTTTCTTGCATCCCGTGACATAGGCTATTGAATATAGGATTTTAAAAGGAATTATGACGTTCATGATATTTTATTACATGAATCGTTCAAATGGTCATTTTAGATGAAAAAAAACGCGGAGTGCTATTAAATTAGAGGGTGGATATTGGAGATAGGGAAATGCACCCCTTTCAGTTTTTTAATTGTAGCTCGAAAACGAAGCAAAATTTCGCTATATAATAGGAAAAATTATTTAGAGAATTGAATTTCCCATTGAAATAGCTTATTCAAAAAATAAAAAAAAAATCGTTAATAAACAATTTTAAAATAAAAATTTCAATTCTGACTACTCTATATGTATAGCCACCTCAAAAATTGAAATTTTGATTTTAAAATTTGTATTAGGACATTATTAGAGGTTATAAACAGATTTATAAAAATGTGTAAAATAATGAATAATGGTACTTCTCTCTTGAGTATTTTCGTGTTTTTTTAATTTATGAGCACCCTGTTTATTTAATCTAAGATGTTTGTATGACAGTCTCATTTTTTCGAGGGGCAGAATTTTTTATAAAGTGACATTTTTCGATAAGTCAAAAACAAAAGATTTCTCTCGATTTCTCATCTCAACTCCATCCATGGACACACTGTATATACATTAATAATATACTTGATTGTACTTAAATTCTCGACTTTTTACTAAATTATTTTATTGAAAAAGTAAAAAAAATCTAAAAATCTTATCTTGCTTTCTTTAAAATTGTTTATTAACGATTTTTTGCATAAAATTTTCCTTTTACATTTTTTAAATATGCTATTTCGATGAGAAATTCAATTCTCTACAAAATTTTTTCTATGAACTGTACCGAAATTTTGATTCGTTTTCCTGATATATCTAAAAAACTGGAAAAGTGCTTTTTCACCATCTTCAATTTCAACCCTCTAATTTTAATAGCACCCCGCGATTTTTTCATTTTTAATGACCCATCAAGCAAGTCATGTGATGAAAATCCTTGAATGTCTTATTTCCTTCATTTTTTGCAAAAAATGAGAATTAAAACGTATAAGGGTAAACGCGACAAAAATCGAAAAATTGGCAAAGTTTGAGCGGCCATATATCAGTCAATTTTCATCCAAAAATACTTTACAACCTCTTGTTTTGAAGGAAATTTTATCTACTTTTTTTTCTATGAAGCGATGCCTATACCTATCTTTACTCAAAAAAAACTAGAGGCAAAAAGAAAAAAAATTGCTTTTTTTCAAATTGTTTATTAACGATTTTTTTGCATAGTTTTCCTTTTAAATTTTTTTAATAAGCTATTTCCGTGGGAAATTCAATTCTCTAAATAATTTTTCATATGAACTATAGCGAAATTTTGCTTCGTTTTCAAGCTACAATTAAAAATCTGAAAGGGGTGCATTTTCACCCCTATCTCCAATTTCCACCCTCTAATTTAATAGCACTCCGAGTTTTTTTAATCTAAAATGACCCTTTGAACGATTCATGCAATAAAATTGCTTGAACGTCATAGGTCCTTTTAACCCTGTTTTTTTTTTATATAATCACTAGCCTAATGAAGTTTCTGATATCATCATCAAAAAAATCTCCCGCCACCTCTCGAGCCCATTGTTTCATGGCACTGTGGACCTCGACGTTAATAGAAAACCTTTTTTCCCCATCAACACTCAGAGGAGAAAAGATGAAAATCAGTTGGTGCCAGGTCAGGGCTGTGAGCGGGGTGGTTGATGATGTCCCAACCGAATAAATCCAAAAGTTGCTTTGTGGCATTTACTGTGTGGGAACGTGCATAGTCCTGCAACAAGCACACTCTTATCACTGACATTCTTCTTTTGTTCTGTATCGCGCTCCGTATTGTTTTCAGAGTTTCGCAATACTGCACAGCATCGTTTCCCCCTCATGTAGAAAGTCAGTGAGGAGAATCCCTTTACGGTGCCAAAACACAATTGCCATGATTTTTTGGGCCAAAACAATGGTTTTGAATAGAATTGATTGTCTTTTCGTCTCAGCAGTGTAGTGGGCCACCCACGTTGTGTCGCCAGTTACAATACAGTCAAAGAATTGTTCACCTGGCGGGATTCAGGACAGTGGCACTCATTTCAACACGCCACTACAACAACAGGTCTCAACTGACCGAGACAAATGAGCATGCGTTCTGCTCGCAACACCTTGGCCTTGAATGCAGTGTTGCCAACTTTGTCAAAAACAAAAACTACAAAGCATCACTACTCTTTGCGGATATGCCTCGTAATATTTTTACTTGCACTCTGTCACTTTTTATTTTATAACTTACCTTAGATGCTGAAAATAATAGTAATGTTCAATAATGGATAATTTTATGTATTGAAACTTTATTATCATAAGTTCAAATTACACAATAAAACAAAATAAAAATTAAAGCAAACGACTTCTGAAGTATTTGTAGTAAATAAAATGNATAATAAATAATGGTACTTCTCTCTTGAGTATTTTCGTGTTTTTTTAATTTATGAGCACCCTGTATATCTAATCTAAGATGTTTGTATGACAGTCTCATTTTTTCGAGGGGCAGAATTTTTTATAAAGTGACATTTTTCGATAAAGTCAAAAACAAAAGATTTCTCTTGTCAACTCCATCCATGGACACACTGTATATACATTATTAATATACTTGATTGTACTTAAATTCTCGAGTTTTTACTAAATTATTTTATTGAAAAATTAAAAAATAAATCAAAAAATCTTATCTTTTACTTTCTTTAAAATTGTTTATTATCGATTTTTTGCATAAAATTTTCCTTTTACATTTTTAAATAAGCCATTTTGATGAGAAATTCAATTCTCTACAAAATTTTTCCTATGAACTGTACCAAAATTTTGATTCGTTTTCCTGCTATATCTAAAAAACTGCAAAAGTGCTTTTTCACCATCTTCAATTTCAACCCTCTAATTTTAATAGCACCCCGCGGTTTTTTCATTTTTACTGACCCATCAAGCAAGTCATGTGATGAAAATCCTTGAATGTCTTATTTCCTTCATTTTTTGCAAAAAATGACAATTAAAACGTATAAGGGTAAACGCGACGAAAATCGAAAAATTGGTTAAGTTTGAGCGGCCATATATCAGTCAATTTTCATCCAAAAATACTTTACAACCTCTTGTTTTGAAGGAAATTTTATCTACTTTTTTTTCTATGAAGCGATGCCTATACCTATCTACTCAAAAAAAAACTAGAGGCAAAAAAGTAAAAAAAATTGCTTTTTTCAAATTGTTTATTAATGATTTTTTTGCATAAAGTTTTCCTTTTAAATTTTTTAAATAAGCTATTTCCGTGGGAAATTCAATTCTTTAAATAATTTTTCCTATGAACTATAGCGAAATTTTGCTTCGTTTTCAAGCTACAATTAAATATCCTAAAGGGGTGCATTTTCACCCTTATCTCCAATTTCCACCCTCTAATTTAATAGCACTCCGCGTTTTTTCCATCCAAAATGACCCTTTGAACGATTCATGCAATAAAATTGCTTGAACATCATAGTTCCTTTTAACCCTGTTTTTTTGGATATAATTAACAGCCTAATGAAGTTTCCGATATCTTTGTCAAAAAAATCTCCTGCCACCTCTCGAGCCCATTGTTTTATGGCACTGTGGACCTCAACGTTGGTAGAAAACCTTTTTCCCTATAAACACTCGGAGGAGAAAAGATGAAAATCAGTTGGTGCCAGGTCAGGGCTGAGCGGTGGTTGATGATGTTCCAACCGAATAAATCTTAGAGTTGCTTTGTGGCATTTACTGTGTGGGAACGTGCATAGTCGTGCAACAAGCACACTCTTATCTTGACATTCCCCTTCTTTTGTTCTGTATCGCGCTCCATATTGTTTTCAGAGTTTCACAATACTGCACAGCATTGTTTCCCCCTCATGTAGAAAGTCAGTGAGGAGAATCCCTTTACGATGCCAAAACACAATTGCCATTATTTTTGGGCCGAAACAATGGTTTTGAATAGAATTGATTGTCTTTTCGTCTCAGCAGTGTAGTGGGCCACCCACGTTGCGTCGCCAGTTACAATACAGTCAAGGAATTGTTCACTTGACGGGATTCAGAACAGTGGCACTCATTTCAACACGCCACTACAACAACAGGTCTCAACTGACCGAGACAAATGAGCATGCATTCTGCTCGCAACACCTTGGCCTTGAATGCAGTGTTGCCAACTTTGTCAAAAACAAAAACTACAAAGCATCACTACTCTTTGCGGATATGCCTCGTAATATTTTTACTTGCACTCTGTCACTTTTTATTTTATAACTTACCTTAGATGCTGAAAATAATAATAATGTTCAATAATGGATAATTTTATGTATTGAAACTTTATTATCATAAGTTCAAATTACACAATAAAACAAAATAAAAATTAAAGCAAACGACTTCTGAAGTATTTGTAGTAAATAAAATGGTGTATATATTATTAGGTTCTTTATAAAGGATAGAAATGTTTAGAAACACAAGTTTAAAAAACTAATTACATAACCGATATATATATAATACTATGATTTATATGTATTAATATAAATTACTCTATTCATAAAATAAATATGTTTTCTGATTTATTACGTGTTGAACTGCTGAAATGTAGGAAAACCTAAAAACGAAGATAAGGATGAACGCACATTTAAAAGAACTTTTAAAATGTCTGCCTATTGTATTTGTAATTGTGACTAGAATTTACTAATAGGTAATCGAGAAAAAGTATAAAATTTAAATATAAACAATGGATCAGTCACCCATCACAAATACCGATATTGTCTCACTGTAAATTTTCTTAAAAATTAATATAATTGTACTAAAACATGGGTTATATATAATAAATATATGAATATTTAATTTTTTTTTTCTTATATTTCTAATAAAATACTAATAAACTATTATATATTGTTAGTTAAAATTTTAAAACAAATAAATAGATATAAATATAAAATATAGTAGAGAAGTCAAATAATGCAACCTAAATAGAAACGTTACATTATTCAGAATTGCTCGAGGATAAAATCATATTACAACACTTAATTGACTTGGATTATTTTACAATCTTAATAAAATATAAACAAAATAAAAAAAATAATTCACAAAATGTACATAAAAATAAGTACAAGTGCCATCTTAAAATCTAAATATATATTAATAATATCAATTTTTATTGTTTGAATAATTTTTCATACTTTAAAACTTGAGGTAACTAATCAGTCTAGACATGTAAAGTATCCATTGTTTCTTTTAAAAAATTCAACATCAAACAAATCTCAGTGTACAATTGCATAATTTTTTTTCTTACTGGTCACTCTACATATCAGTCAACGACTATATTCTCACTTTTCTTATAACATTTTCCTTATAAATGCATGGTAAATTACAGCTGATTAATGGCAGTTTTTAGCTATCGTAACTTGAGCTGTTGTGGTGGTCCGCTTGAGGAGACGGGGGTGTTGACAGATTGGAACTATTGTTACTGGCAATCGAGTGACGAGGACTACCTCTATTCTCTGTTCCCTAAAAAATTGCATTTTTATTAGTATCAATTGTATGGGTGGGTTTAATATAGGTGTTATTACAACAAAAGTTAAGACTTCCTAACCGGCGGATGTTTTAAAATAAAAAAAAGTTAACAAAATTCAGCTATGTAGTGAACATCAAGTTAAAAAAATGTTCCCATAAACGTGGTTTGAAAATGCTTCATTTCCGAAATACACGGTTTTTGAAAAATCTAAACACATATCTCCAGAGATGTTTGATGTACATTAATGAAACTTAATAGACTTACAATTTTTTAACAGAGTGTTATCAATAGACTTAGTGCCGCAGGCGCTTATGAGCATTTTTTTCAAGTGGAGCTATTTAAGAAGCAAAAGTTAAATTTGCAATCAATTTCAAATAATTACTAATAATAATTAACTGCAAGATTTTACACTAATGTCGAGATCTAGGTGACATGAAGGTGAAATGCATAAGCATTGAAAGTATAAAACATATTTAAGGAAGTGTCTGCACTTATTGATTTGTAATATACAGGGTGTTTCAGTTCGAGTGAATCAAACATTAACCACAAATAGAACTCGATAAATAATTCAAAATTTCCTTATAAAGCAAAGGTCTAAGTCTCACCGTTTTCACTGTACAGGGCCATATTGGTTGGTTTTTTAAATCGTAATATTTCTGAAATCTTTGATTTGCTTATAACCAATTGATTCAAATTTGGTGTGGTTTTAAACAATATTAAATGTCTCTACATCGGCAAAACGACTAGTAAATTTTAAATATAATCCCATGTGTATTATTTATTGCATTCATATTGTGGTGAATTCCGTCTCTGAGCTCATTTTTTTGTTGTGCTTCAGTGCGGCGGACAGCATGTTCAATGGCACCTGCTCTAAAATTTCATTTGTGTCATTCTGAAGCAATTATAGGTATCGTTGCTCATTCAACGGTCCGTTTGTTTCAAACATATATAATTCCTTTAAAAAATTACACCTACATATTAATTTTAAATCTGTGCTGTGCGTCCATTACAGTATCCGTACACAATGATTACCATGAATAAACAACTAAGCAATAATAGACTTATCTGTCATCAGGAACTGCCATTTTATTCTTAAGATTTGAAATATTAGTTACTGTTTGTAAAAAAATGGATGAATATTCAAGATTTTCTTATCATTCAACTGAGATTTTCGGTAAAACGATACACTATACCGATTATCAACAAGTATACCTTATTTATGTAGAATTGTCCACGGAATCTAAAAATGAATCCCAAATAATTATTAGGTCGTTGGCATAGAAATCGGGGTAAAAAAATTTCGCTTTACTACCCATTCCTATGCCACTGACCTACAAAAATTTGTTAATTTTACAGTAAATTATGCACATGTGTAAATGTTAACACCACACCAAATTTGAATCAATTTGTTATAAGCAAAGCAAAGATTTCATAAATAATATGATTTTAAAAACCAATCTATACAGTGAAAATGGTGAGACTTAAGATAAGATCATGGAGTAGCAATTTGCGAGTTGCGATTAACGATTTTACAATTTATGTGACAAAAATGTAACATTCGTTCATGTACATACGCAAAAACTAGTTACTTTTAAATTTCTTGTGTTACTTGCCTTGCCATGCCATGCCATAGGCCACAGTCACAAATTTGAGATATTCTTGGGCCACAGTAAATAAAATTAAACAACATAACCTAAACTCACATTTTTGTGATTACATACGCAGAACATCAGACAAGATCAGACATTCATTTATAAACATTCTTCAACGATGAATGTGATAAATAACTGATTATTATTATGTTATTTATTGTCAATAGCACAGAAGATTGTTATACGCTTGGTATTTTATAAGCAAAACAAAAAGAAGCCAGAAATGATCTTAAAAAAGGAATGACTGGAGGCCTATTTTATTAAAGTACTTTTCAACTTTTCACTTTACTAATGTAGAAAAACGAAGAATTCTCTTTTATAAAAAATATACATTACATAAATGTTATGTGTTTTAAGAAGCTTCAGCTATTCATTTTCACTGTGCAGATTACCAGTTTTTTGGCCCCTAGGCGCTTATCATAATTTGGTAATGGAAGTGAGATTACATGACACTAATAAATATTTGGACGGACTGCACATGCGCAGTTAGTCAAAATTATTGCGATAATCGCCAAAAATAGAAACCTATTTTCCCGCCCCCTATATTTAAATTTTGCGATTCTCGTAATATATTGAAATGAAAAATGATGTCAAAAATATTTTGTTTGGTTATTATCCAAAGATTTTATGAAAATAGACGTTCCTTTGTGAACACTTATCACACACTTCGCGAAAACTTTGGTCCAAATTCTTTGCTTGCCATTCGTCGCATCATTGAGAAATTTGAAAATAATTTTACTCTTTACGATGTAAAAAGACGTCGAAATGCCAGAACTGTTGAGAATATTGCTTCTGTAAGAGCTAGTGTTGCAGAGGATCCAAATTTACCAATTCCTCGTCGTGCTCAACAGTTAAGGCTTACAAATACGACAATTTGGTGGATTTTGCAAAAAGGCTTGAATTTACACCCGTATAAGATTGTTTTGACCCAAGAACTTAAGTCATTGAATCATCGTCGGCATCAAGAATTTGCTACTTGAAGTTTAGAACAACTTTTTGGTTAAGTGGATATGTTAATAAGCAAAAATGCCGTTTTTGGTGTGAAAACAATCCACAACAGAATCACAAGAAGCCTTAGAAGAGAAGGTGCGGTTTATGGCATGGTGGCATAATCGGACAATTTTTTTCCAAAATGAGGTAGGAGATGCAGTTACAGTGAATGGTGAACGATATCGACAGACGTTAAGACATTTTTGTGGCCAAATTTAGATGCACTTGATTTCGAGCATGTGTGGTTCCAGCAAGACGGTGCCACATGTCACACTGCTCATGAAACTATCGACGTATTGCAAGAAAAGTTTGACGAAAGGATAATTTCAAGGCAACTGTTCACTGGCCTCCAAGAAGCTGTGATTTAACTCCTTTAGATTACTTCTTTTGGAGCTATTTAAAATCTGAGGTCTATGCAAACAGACCACAAACACTTGATGCATTAAGATTGACATTGAACGCTGCATTCGTTAGATCACGCCCAATTTATTGCACAATCAGTCACCGAAAATTGGGTTCGTTGAATTTGCTCATGTAGACGAAGTCGAGGTGGACGTTTAAACAATGTGTTATTCAAAACATAAATGTTACTGACTGTACTTTAAGATAATTATAAAAAGTTCGGTTGTATCTGAAATAATTTTAATTTTATTTCATTTTAAAATCATATCGTTCTCAATGAAAAACCCATTATGTCTTAAATTCAAATGTCGTGTTAGTAATTTATTCAAATGTTTACTACCACTTTCTTTAAATCGTGCAAAACGAATTTTGGGACATTAATTCGTTAACTGTATAAATTGCATAAGGATTTTCCGTCTAAAATGATCCAAAGAACAATATCCTGAAGTTATAACTTGCACTTAGAAAATACACTGCATTAAAATGGTTCATGCATATGTTCATATGGGTTGTTAAGTGTTATTACCTTGATTATTTCATGTAAAGAAGACATACTGCCAATGCTTGCTGGATCTGGAGACGGCGAAGTATCAGAGGGTCTTGGTAATGCCGGCGGCAGATCCCTTGGTCGAGGAGGGGCTGCCCTTTTTGCACCATTGTAAGCGGGAAAAGTCGTTCTAATCGGTATCGGGTTTGAAATCTCCGGTCGCTTTCTTTCACCATGTTTTGGTGGTAACGGAGCCGACTTTGTTATTTGCTAAAAAACGTAATTACTAACTGATAACTAAATTAAGTTTACTCAAATCTCAAGGAAAAATAAATTTCACTTTTCTCCATATACCGTGAGCGGCAAAAGTTTGGAATATATTTATTTAAAAATCAGATGTTCGTTATTTGAAAAATCGCTCGTACTCGTTGAATTATATTTTAGTTGCGCATTTTCTGAAGCAATTTTCATTTATACAGGGTGGCCCAAAAAAAGTTACGAAATGAAGGCCAACTTTTTAAAATGGAAATCCCACTTTTTTGTATGTTTATTCAATTCTCCATGGAATTCTGATTATTTTTTATGTAACATAACCTATACCTATCTTTAACCGTTTTCGAGATAATGCTGTCTGAATATAGAATATGGAAAATTTTCAAAAATTACCCTGAGATTTACCAAGCTGGTTTTAAAATAAAACTACGTTTACTTTTCCATCTTAGATTTATGTGGTTTACAGAAAGTTGCTTCAAATCCGAAAAATCCATAAGAAATAAGTGGTTTGGTGATTTATTTTGATCATTATGACACAATGACATGAATGTAAAAAATATAAGTGAGGTATTTAGGTATAATTTTATTAGTTATTGAATAGTATATTAGGTATTGAATAGAATAAATAGTTATTGAATATTTCACATCATTCTTGCTCTGTTCTGGCTTTGTCAGTTTGTACCAAACAAATTAAAATTAAAAATTAAATTCATTAGCTGTGCTTAAACATTTGAAAAAAAACAAAATGTATTTAGCAGAAAATACACCAATTCCCACTGTCTTTGACGTTACAGTCCTTACGTATCGAGAGTAATTTTTGAAAATTTTCCATATTCTATATTCAGACGCCATTATTTCGAAAACGGTTAAAGATAGGTACAGGTTATGTTAAATAAAAAATTATCAGAATTCCATGGAGAATTGAATAAAAATACAAAAAGTGGGGTTTCCATTTAAAAAAAGTTGGCATTGATTTCATAACTTTTTTTGGCCACCCTGTATAAATGAAAATTTCTTCAGAAAATGTGCAACTAAAAATAAAAATTCGACAGGTCCGAGCGATTTTTCAAATAACGAACATCTGATTTTTAAATAAATATATTCCATACTTTTGCCGCTCACGGTATATTACATTTCATAACAAGGTAGAACTTTGTTTATCTGATCATGCCAAAACTGGCAAGTTCCAGACAAAAATGAAATTCTCGGTTAATGTAAATTAATCGATCAATTGTATTTACAAAAATGTCAAAAAGATAATAACTGATGTGAGGTACATTTGCGCAGTTCGTACGATATTTGTTAACCACATTCAATACCCGAGGGTAGAAAGACATTGGCAGTGTGACATTCACCATTCATCTAAGTGAGATGATATGGACTTAAAAACAACATAGCAAAGAAAAAATTAAAAAGGAGTGACGTTCCCTAAAATCTTGAAATGATTGCATATCTACAAAAGATTTAGTTTTTTTCATCATCAACAGATACAAACAGGCGTTTTCATGTTATACAAAATTTTAATTTTTCTTAAATTTACAGCATTATGAAGAAAACTGGAATGTTAATATAAAATTTAGTTTAAACATACTACTCATATATTACTATGAAGAAAAATTAATTTTGTAAAATCAATTGATTATGAAATAAAACATATACAGGGTGTGGTGTGTATAATCTATAAAAATTAAACTACAGTTTCCTAACGATATTCGTAATAGAAAAGTCTTATAAGAAAAAGTTCTATTTTTGCGTTTTTTTTTTCGTAAATTAAAGTTCAATTATGGATCAAAATATTTTCTCTGGAACAGTCCTGTCTGTGTACTGTACGATGAGATACGTGCTGTAGACCAGCCGCGTAAACAAATCATCATTGAAAGATAGAAAGTTACTTCTCAATTTTTGGGGGATTTTTCAATGTAAAAGTACACACTAAGAAAAATGGATATTTAAAAAAAAATTGATATTTTCATATTATAATACAGTTGAACTTGCTTATAACGAGCAGGGGATATAACGAGCACTTGGTTATAACGAGCAAATTGAAATGTCCCTTCCGAATTCCCTATGTAACACGTGTATTTTTGTTCGGCTATAACGAACTCGTATATAACAAGGGCTTGGCTATTACGAGCTTTGATTTTGGTCCCGCGCAACAGTGATCTCGGCTATAACGAGTTATCGTAGAATCAGTTTTTACGCACATGACATCAAATGAACGCAAAAACTTGTTATGACTAGTAGAAATAACAACATATCCGATTTTGACGTCTTTGACTTAGTTCAGTACGAGATGGTAGACGAAAATCTCGAAGTGGCTGAATTCCCAAATGAAATTCAAATCACACAATTAGCGATTAACCCATCAATAGATGAAGAGTTATGAAGAAGAGACAGGAAGCGATGAGGTTACAGTTCCTTCGACACATGAAGCCATCTCTGCGTTAAAAACCATAGTATCATACGTCGAATTCAAATATCCGGAAAACGAGCAGTTCTTAAATGCCGCTGATTGGTTGCAAAGAAATATCAGTCAGGAGATATTAAGCAAAAGAGTGGTGCAGAAAAATATTACAGAATTTTTTCGTTAATAATAAATGCTATGTAATGTAACTCACCTACAGTTATACGTATCTATGTTATGTAGATAAATATGTTTGAAAATAAAAATACAAGTGCAATGCAGCTATGTCCAATATGTGTCCAATAATTTTCAGCATAGTTGGCGACGGCGACGTCTATAACGAGCACTCGCGTATAACGAGCAAATTTTGCGTTCCCGTGAATGCTCGCTATAACCGAGTTTTACTGTAATTAATAGTAATTACTATCTTAAATGCATTGTTGTTACTGCAAGAGTTCGCAAACAAAGCCACATCCGTAAGCATCTGTAGTTGCCAACTGCTTGCATTAAACAAACTTCATTAAAATATGGAACAAAATGTAATAAAACTTACCATTTCTAGAGAAAATGTTCAAATTGATCCCCATTAGCGCGGATACAGGCATGACACTGACGCACCCAATTTTGGTGAATATTTTCCCAAATTCCAGATATTCCCCTAATTGTGTCAGCAGCTTCAAGTATACGGTTTTGCAATTCTTCCACCGTAGCAATTGGAGTATTGTAAACCAATGACTTCAAGTGACTCCAAAGATAAAAGTCCATTGGAGTTAGATCGGGTGATCAGCACAGGACCAAAGCGTCCAATCCATCGCTCAGGAAACATTTCATTCAAGTGTCGTTACTTCTCGATTACTATGTGGAGGAGCCCCATCTTGTAGATAAATGCGTGCCCCAACTTGTAATGCCACATCGTCCAATAATTCAGGCAACTGGTTCTCCAAAATGTCACCATATGTTGGTCCATTTAGTCGTCCTTCAAAGAAATAGAGACCAACGAGTACATCGCCTATTATGCCAGTTCAAACATTTATCGAGAACCTATGTTGAAAATGAGTTTCCCTAATCCCATGAGGATTTTCGTCCACCCATATGTGCATATTATGGAAATTCACTTCATTACGGGTAAATGTCTCTTCATCTGTTACACAAACATAAGCAAGAAAATCTACTTGATTGGCACATTGCGGTAAAAACCATCTGCAAAAACGCATTCGTTGATCATAATCCGGGGGTAAAATCTGTTGAATTGGTTGCAGCTGATACGGATGCAACAGCTGGCGCCTTAAGATATGATGCACGGTATGAGAGGAGGTTCCTATTTGCTGTGCGTGTTGTCGAGTACTAATTGTGGAGTCCTCGTCAAGATTTTTCAACACTGCATCTTCAATGTTAAGGTTCACTTGCTGACCACATCCTTCTCCTCAAGGAATAACACTTCTAGTGTCTCACAGCCGCTGAACGCACTGTAAAATTGTATTTACACATGTAGGGTGACATTGTGGCCATCGTTCTCAGTACAACCTAGTCGCCACGAGCACATTTTCTCCGGCTGCACCATACACTAACACCATATCGACACGTTCAGAAATAGTAAATGCATTGTTTTCTCGGTTCATTGTAAAACTAGTTTGTGCACAAACTAAAAAATTGAGCAAAGTAAAAAATAAGAATCTCGTTTTTAATGTAATCGGCACGCTATTCTTATTTTTTACTTCTTTATAAAAATTACTATTCCACTATCGTGGAATTACAAAATAAAAACTTTTGTTTGGAATCTTTCACTTTTTAACACTGATAGGTCGATGAAAGACGATGCTTAATATTTAATAATTAGTAGTAGTAGTAATAAAGGGGCGGCCTCAACCTGGTAATTAGGCCACAAGTGGGCCCTTTTTGCCTACCCCATCACCTAACCACTCTCTGCCTCTGACCCCCCTCGAATCTACCCGACGCCCTAATGAATGCCAGAATTTTGGTCCATGGAAGGTCTCTCACCTCAACCCCTTGCAGCTCTTCAGCGCCAAAGACTTTATGTCTTATTCTCCCAAAGGCTGCACACTGTCGCAGAAGGTGGACAGGGGTGTCCTCCCCTTCGCCACATTTCGGGCTTAGAGGGTCCTCCTCAATTCCTATTAAGCTTAAATGCCTCCTAAGTCTGCAGTGGCCTGTCAGAACCCCCACCATTTGGTTTAGGGCTCTTCGACTGAGGCTCAGCAGCCATCTTGTCTTGGATTTGCTAGGTCCATGTATAAAACTATGGGCCTGCCTGCATCCTCTATTTCTCCTCGAATCCAGACCTAAAGTTTGATAGGCCCACTTATTGAGGGCCCCATTAATGCTGCCTCGTGTGATACCTAAGATTGGTTCAGGTCCCTGTCCAGGTCCCCTGGACCCAAGACGAGCTAATTGATCCGCCCTCTCGTTACCAGGGATGCCCCTATGGCCTGGGACCCAAACCAACTCTACTTCTTTTCGTCTAGCCAAAGACTCTAGAGCGTCTCCACATTCTTGGACAAGGGCAGACCTAGTCCTCGGGGAGCTAACCGCTCTGAGCGCGGCCTGACTGTCGGAGCAGATAAAAATCTTCTCCTCTGCACAATTCCTTACCTCCTCCTTGCTTGCTACCATCAAAATAGCAAAAACCTCAGCCTGGAAGACTGTAGCATACATACCCAGTGAAAAGCTTTCCTGGATGCCGCTGCCTTCCAGATAAATTCCTGCTCCTGAAAACTCGTCTTCTACCCGAGATCCATCAGTATAGCACACTAGGGATCCCGGGGAGAACATATCACCATCCTGCTTCCACTGCTCTCTAGAGGGGAAAGTGGTGACATACTTCCTTCCTAACCTAAGCCGGTCCTCTGCTTCCTCTGTAACCCTCATGGCGGATATTGGGATGTCCCTCTCCGTCCTGAGGGCCACGGCAGCATGGCCCTCAGTGCGTCCGTTAGCTCTCCAACCGCCGGCGTCCCTTATCCTAAGGTATGCCGCCATCACCTCCCTCATAATCCATGTAGGAAGGGTCGGCAGCCCCAGAAGGACCTCTAACGCGGCAGTTGGAGTCGTCCTCATTGCGCCTGTAATACCTAAGCAGGCAAGTCTCTGGATTCTCACCAACTTCCTGGCTACCGTCACCCGGTCCACACACGGCCACCAGACCAAGGCCCCATACTGTAGCCTCGGCCTGACCACCGCCGTGTACACCCAGTGAAGCACCCTTGGATTGAGTCCCCAGTTTTTGCCAACTACCTTCCTTAACTGCCAGAGGGTTGCCACTGATTTCCGGGTAATCCTGACCAAAGTCAGGGGCCTCCCATACATGGTTGGAGCCCTGAAATCACCTATCTTCCTTCTCCTTGTAAATAGGATCATCTCAGTCTTCTTTGAGTTGACTGAGAGCCCCATCTCCTCGCACCACCTCTCTATGATCCTACAGGCTCCCTGCATTCTGTCGCATACCACGTCCAAAAACCGGCCCGCGACTAGAACCACACCATCATCGGCGTAAGCCTGGGCATCACTGTATCCCTCCGAGGTTAGGCGTTCCAGGAGACCGTCCATCACTAGGCACCATAGAAGCGGGGAGAGGCAGCTGCCTTGAGGGCATCCCCCTCCCACTCCCAGGTCCCTACGACAGTTCCCCCATGACTGGCACTAACCTTCCTTTCCTTCAATGCGGAACTCACCCATTCTCCCACGATAGGCGATGTGCCCCTGTCTTGGAGCGAGTTGCATATGGTCTCAGTTTTTGCCTTGTCGAAGGCAAATAAATTAAGTATTAAGGCAAGAATAATTAAGTGAATAATGAATTCAATACAAATACAAAATCAGTCGACTGCACAAATTTTTTGACAATGTCACCTAACCTTCTTTTAGTATTACCAGTATTAGATTATACAGACTTAAATTATAATGTTGCATCTCGGGTCGCATAAAAACATTTCCAAAGTTTTTAATAAATAACAGAGGGTCGGCCTTCATTTTCGTTGAATAAATGAACTTTAATTTACAAAAAAAAACGTGAAGATAGAACTTTTTCGTATAAGACTTTTCTATTACAAATATCATCAGCAAGCTGTAGTTTAATTTTGATAGATTATCCACACCACACCCAGTACATTTTGCACATGTTTTAATTTTTTATTTCACCAATTCACAAAAAAGAAAACTGCAGTTACCTAAATAAATAATTTTACATACTGACCAAAAAAAATGGAATGGAAAAAAATTCCTCTATACAACACTTTAAGAAGAGGTAAGTAGAGTTTCTACCTAATGGCGGAGCCTATTGATGGTTGAACGAAATTCTACTGTACTTCAAGTATAGATATTATGTTAATAATAAATCTTACCCTTGGCTGAGGCGTTGGAACGGTAGCAGCGTAGGCGTTTGGTTCGGCGATTTGATCAGTTAGACCCATAGTCAAATCAATCAACTTTTGCCGCGAAATACCATCTCCCGGACCCATGTGACTAATATGATTGAAGTTTGTCGGTGCCGATATTAGTTTTGAACGCCTATCTGTATTTCTATAAAATATAAATATGATAAATAGTAATGTTTGACTTTGCTATTAAATATATTACATTCGTTGTGATCGATTTCCCTCTCTTAATGAAAACCTTCTTCTCGTCTTCGGAACCGTTCTGCCTTCACGATCAAGTGTAACAATGTTGTCTAAATTTATTATCTCTTCTGAAAATGTATTTGAGATTAATATCAGTATATTATAGTTAAATTACATTTACAAAATGACCCCATTATAAATAATATGTTATGGTTGTGTATATATTGATATTTTTTGAAAACTTTGTCGTTTTTCAAAAATAAAACTCCCGAAGACAAATATTCCTTCCGTTTGAACGAGGAATAAAGTCTCTCTTTTTGATATTCTGTTATGCTGCACTGCGTAGTTACTTACTTTGATGAATGTTGGATAGATATAACAAATGTGCTAAATCATTTAACGTGCACAAGGTAAGACTACCACTATCATTTAATGGTTTTGCTTTCTTTATATTCACAGTTTGGACCCATTCGCCTGTTGCACAGTTGAATATATCTATATGAGTGTCACTGTATACGATTAAATGACCGTCTCTGTATCCTGAAAACAAAAAAAAATTAGAAAATGCGGTGCTGATTTTGAAGATCAATTTTTAATGCAGTAGCATTAAAAATTTGATGTACTGCAAGTACTTTTTCAAGAAGAACCGGAAAGGTATACAAAAGCCAAATTAATTCAACATTTTTTTTTTTATAATTCTACATACCGATAGCTGTTGGAACGGCAGGATACATTATTTCTCTGTCTCGTGACTTCCTACCATGTCGGTCAACATAAGCAGCTAGAGTACCAAATATCAACAAATATTCGTGCCTCGGAAGTTCCACGACCCTTAGTGCTTCGACGGCACTACAAGTTATTGTTGCATATAAAGGATTTTCTTGATGCAACAGTGCTAAAATAGACGATACCTTTTTATTCAAGTTAATTTCGGAAATAGCTAGAGAATATCAAAATTCACTTGGGAGAGATTTAATATGTAATAAAATATTAAAAAATAATCTGGTGCAAATAAAATTTCCTTTCGAAAGAAGTACATTCTGTCAAAAATGTTTACGGAATTTGTCATTTAAAAATTCCACGTAAAATAGATTTATACTTCTTTTTTGATGGAAAGTTGGTAACACTGTACTCGAAGTTTGAGCATAATTTGTCAAAGTAGTTTGTTTACAGCTGTTAATTTTGCTAATCTACCAAAAGTGTGTTCCACGATTTTTACTATGGATAATGTTATTGACCAAAGACTTTGTCTAAAATTTTGTGCTATCAACGGAATTTCTTGTTCTGAATCGTTGAAAATGTTGGAAAAGACTTACAGTAATCCAGTTTTCATCGAAAACTCGAGCGTACGAGTCCTTCAATGTATTCCAATGAAGAAAATATCACTGAAGTGAAGAAAATGGTGCTTGCAAACCGTCATTATAGTTTAAGAGGGTTGGCATACGAACTAAACATATCTCACGAATTTGGAATTGACTGATAATGAAAACCTTAATGATTTTTTGAACCTAGATGAAAATTTGTATGTTGAAGATCGAGATTCAGGACTAGAAATTGAAAATCCAGTTAAAATACAAGAATTTTCCGAAGATTCTGATGTCGATGGCACTGATTTAAAATGTTGAAGTCTAAACGTTAATTCTGACACTTGCCAAGTGGCTACACCGATCGAAATATTGTGACACCGTTGTTACCACTGTCCATTATAAAGCTACTCTATTAAATATTATAATGGTATCATGCAGTCCTCCATCTTTGCACAACATTATGCACATTTAACAAATAAATTTATACTTAAACTTACATATAAGCTGTTGATCCCCACTCTGAATGTTGTAAATGGTAAAACAAGATGGTGATCCTACACACAGTCGACCATCTGTTAGAAGCTGGAGAGATTGTACATTGACTGGTAAACCAATTTCACGAACACGTTGATGCCTAGTTTTTGTACGGGTTATTTCGTAGATAATAATCACTGACGAATTTTGCTAAAAGAAATAATTATTTTATATTAAGTTTAGTTTACAATGTCATCTGGATAATGAAATAGATTGGCTTTATGAAACACATTAACAAAGAAATGTTAAGTCAATTTAACCTGACTTGCAAAATTCGTTTGAAAAACTCTTGAATATGTTATCTCTGCATAGTTCGTTCCTACATCTGTAATGTGTTTATAGCAGTGGTCATGGTTACCGTTGCATAGTAGTGAAAGGCAGAGTGGACGTAGCGTATATTTACTAGGCAGTTTGGATACTGTTTAGTCCGACTATAACCAAATAGTAGCTATTGATCGCTTTTTTTCTTATTAAACGTAATTTGTACAGATGTGTAAAATTTTGCTACTTGCCTATTGATTTGTGTGTTTTTTAAAAGATTGTAAAAGTTTAAAGTGGTTATAAAGACAGACTAACAGTAATGCTATCTATTGGAAAATCAATAGTGCGAGAAATATCAAACCTTAATGGCAAAGTAATTGAAAATTTTATTTCGGACAAAAGCAGAAGAACGGACTTTCACTATAAAAAATAATGTTCAACACATTTTCCCTATATTTCAATAGTACTTAAAATAAAACTGCCGAATTATATTTTATTTTCTTTTTTCAATACTTTGTATCTAAATTTTTCCGCCCTCCCAGGTCAAGAGCCGCCAATGATTACGTTCCACTTCATTATTAAAAATACAGGATAAATACACTCAATGTCATAGCAACGCTTCCAATTTTATTGGGGTTGAAAACTGTATATCACACCATTCTTTTATTCAATGAAAAGTCGACATGTTGAAGAGATTTTTTTTTTAAGAGAAAATAGAAATGTAATCCTTGCACTAAAAGAGTGGTGTTGTCTTTCGATATTTTGAAAAAGTAATATTTTATTCAAATTTTCTTTGAAAATGGTGATGATAATGGATGAGGAAAAGTTGAATGTTTCTTTGGCAATATCGTTTGTGGAGATATATTTATTACTCATGTTTTAAACTTAAGCAACATTTACATTAACAAGTAACTCATATACTAATAGATTCTACATAAGACTGTATAAACTCAGTAATGTAGATATGAATTACCAAGACGAATCACAATGGTCGATCAAATGAGTTGATCACGCCAGAAATGGTAAAGAAAATCCACAAAATGGTATTGGATGACCATCGACTGAAAGTGCACGAGCTAGCAGAGATGGTAGGCATTTCAAAAAATGCTGCACATATTCACTGAAAATTGGAACGTGAAAAAAAATGTGCGCAACATGGGTGCTGCATTTGCTCATAAAGGAACAAAAACAGTGTCATAAGGATGTCTCAATCGAGTGTTTGGCAATGTTTCACAGCAATAAAGCTGAGTTTTTGCATCGATTCATAACCATCGACCATCACTTCACACCTGAGACGAAGGAATAGCCAAAACAATAGACTGAAAGGGGAGAATCGACTCCAAAGAAGGCAAAGACAGATGGATCTGCACAAAAGGTCATAATATTAGTTTTTTGAAACACGCGTGGGATAATTTTCATTGATTACACAGCCACACAAACAAAAACTACTTTTCATGCGACATATGTTATCCGTAGTATTTTTGCCTCCTGATCATGGCCATCTTGGACCCGCCATCTTGAATTTTGCAAAATTCACCTCGGATCCGTAATCAGCGACCCCGAAAACCCCCATATACAAAATTTGGCGCGAATGTTATTTTTTTTAAATTTGTTTGGCCATCTTGGACCCGCCATCTTGAACTTTGCAAACTTGACCTCGGATCCGTGATCAGCGACCCCCGTATGCCAAAGAACCGACAATTCTGACCGCGGATTCACATTCGGCGGTGGTCTTAACTACATAAATGAACATTTGAATATAGAAAAAAAAATTTGTATTTTTCCTAGCACTTTTTCGTGATGTGATAGCTCAATTCTGACATTGATTCATGATCTGGAGCAAAAATACTATGGATAACATATGTAGCATGAAAAGTACAGACAATAGCAAGTATTATGTGAACTTATTGCAGAGTTTGAGTGATGAAATCAAGAAAAAACAGCCTATTTGTCGAAAAAGAAAATGTTGTTTCACCAAGACAATACCACTGTTCACGTATCACTGTGACCGAAATCAACGAGTTAAAGTTCGAATTGCTTCCTCACACACTCTATTCACCAGATATAGCCCCCCGGATTATTTTCTCTTTCCAAACTTAAAAAAATGGCTAAGTGGTAAAAAATTTGCCAACAATGAAGAGGGAAATCTGCGGTTATGTCTATTTTGAGGAACTAGATAGTTCTCATTATAAACAGGGTATCAATGCTGCCAAAAGCGTCTCGAGCTAAAACGAGACTATGTTGAGAAATAAAGATTTCTCAAATTTTTTAACATAATGGTAACACATTCATACACCGTTATCTTCATACCTTTTTACAAAATTTCACAAACTTACCTGTTTCTTTATTGATACACAAAGGCAAAACGTCAAAGGGGCTCTTAAAACAGGCCCTACGCTGAGTACTGCACAACCTTTACTCTCCGTCACTTTAATCCATTCCACGTCGTCTCCATCCAGGGCTCTAATAGGTACGAGTCTAACCTGTCTCTGTTTGCCGCTAACGACGACTAATAAATGCTCCTCGCTTATATATTCCAATTGTAATATTTTCTTCCCTTCTCCTATTTTCGCAATTTCGCTTCTGTCTAAATCAATGCAGTACATTCCCTCTTCCGTACCTAAAACGATCCTGTCTGGATCTATTATGGCTGCGGAATGGGTACTTCTTAATAAGGTGAGGGATGTATCGATTAATTCCCTTGCTACTAATACGGTGGTATTCGGTAAATTATTTCTTTTCATAATTCGATGTAACTCTGCAAGGGCAGTCACCCACTTGTTCCGTTCGGCCTCTGTGTCGGCCAGCATTAACGTTGAATTTCTCGGCCCTGGTGGTTCCATTAGGGATGTGGTGACCTATCAAATACAAAAATTAAGCACTTTTCTCAACAAAATTTTTCTAAAAATTTTTTAACTAAGTTATTTTATTAGTTATTATCTATACAGGGTGTTCAGAAACTATGAGCAAAAAGTGTTGAAGGTGATTCTGGTCACGAAAATAATGATCCTACGGCAATTTCTCCAAAACTCGATATTAACCATTATAGGGGTGTAACTTGAAGTGGGGGTCAGTTTTTTAGGGGTAATAATACGTGTTCCTCTGAATACGAATCTGAATTTTTTTTAATAAAATAATTATTCGAGTTATAATTAGTTTTTTAAAATGCACTTCAATACTTGTGTACGCCGCCGCTGTAATCATAAATTGTAGACAACTTACAATGCATGTGAAGGGAGATAGTGCTGGTAAACGGTTACAAAGTGAGGGGCTTCAATTGTTCAACAATTGGAGGTAGTATATCTAACTGTGAATCTGAATGTTTTTCATCACTGGAAGCCATCAACAGACTAATTATTTTTGTATATTTCATGTATCATTATTGATTACTGCTTAAGTTTTCTGCTAGGTTACTTGTTAAGTACCGTTGTGGGGCGAACACGCACTCACCAAAAGTAACTCGTGGCGAATGATGTGGAATTGTGCATGCACTGCGACTAAAGTGCGACCTTATTTGAGGTTATAGTAGCTTCTCCAGTGACGGGGTACGAAAATTACTAAAAAAAGTTACAAAAAAATTGAGTTTTTACGACGAAATTTGAAAAAATAAGCTATTCATCGTATGAAGTGATCCCTAAGCTCGGCCAAATGATTCCACGACAGTGTACGTACTGTCCCACTACTTAGAATTTCAACGGATTGTGCATTCTAGCCCAGGATTGAACCTTCAGTTCGATTTCAGACCCAATGAATCTCAACAGCATTTTTGGAAGTTTTTGATTGAAAATATTTTGAAATGCAGACTATACAAATTGATGACGTTTTTGTTTCTTTTTGAAATATGTTTTTCAGTGATGAATAGTATATAGTACACATTTGAAGACGATAATTAAAAAAGCCATTTTATTGATACAGACATGCACTGAGGTCTATCTTACACTTGAAACAAAATAAAATGTTAATAAGTCTATTTTAATATATTTAACATTTGAAGTTTTTAGTGATACCACTGACTTTGCACATAAATGTCAAACTCAATGTGAACTGAAGCAGTTCTGCCTGTTCAACTGACACTACATGCTCTAAGTCTCTCAGTAACAAATACTCTCATATTTGTCTGATAAAAATCTTTTTGCAGAGGGAGGGATTGGTTTATAATCGAGTGACTGATACTGCTCGCTTTGCGTTTGAACTTTTTCCATGGTGACTTCCTAACAATTCTATAGTTAATAATAATAATACCTCTTCTCCTCATTCTAACTACGAGAATTAGCCCAGAAGTCGGAGACTTGTGCGGGAGAGGAGGCGGCATATTATTATTAAGCAGGCCGTATTTGCTACCAGGAACGACTTATGTTGGTAAGCCCTAACCACCATTCAGTGCAGGAATGAGGGAAACCTGGAAAACCTCATTTATTAGAGGGGTGGTCAAATGCCAACCAGTGTCAATCTCTCACATTGACCCAAGCCAACATTCTTCCACCCTACCATACCTGCACAGAGGGTGCCAATCCTCCGTACAAGCATAGCTAATCTACGGTCTACCGAACGCGAAATTCGAAACCCGGGCAGAGAGCACACATCGATTTAAGTACTGACGCCTTAAACCGTGCGGCTATCGAGTTAAAATTTAACATTAAAATAATTATTAATTTTTTATTAAGGGTCTGTTACTTAAGAAAAAATAGATTTGTGACATGTAATTCAATAAAGAATAAGAGTAATAAATACTGCAAAATATTTTATTTAAAATCAGGTACAAACGTACCACCTAAATATGTTAATCTAGCACTGGCGGCAGAGAAGGCTTGAAATGAAAAACTTTAAACCGTCGCGTCGCGTTGTAATCAAACGGGCACATTTCCTCATCACCCTTGAGGTAATGCCATGGACGTGTTACATTTTTGGAGTGGGTTGTTCGCCAGTAGCCCTCTTATCCCATAAAGTAAAATATCTTATTTTGTATAAAACGTTAAATAAATTATAAATAATTTTGTATAATACATTAAATAACACTAATTAGCAAAGGGTACAAAAATTTAAAGAAATTCGAATAAATTAATATGTACAATAGTTACTTATATATGTATAAGTAAACCTATAAATAAATATATAGATATGTATTAAAAATAAAAACATTTTTGGCAAATAAATTACATATCACAAATTAAATATTTTGTCAATCTGCGATTTTCTGATCCAGCAAAATGATCAATAACTTTTAACTCTTTAAAGTTCCCTCAATTAGCAGAATTCACTTTTTCAACATGTCCGCGAAAAGAAATTTCTTGAGACGATAAAAATATTACTACATCGATTAGTCTATTTAAAATATCTCTATTTTAAAGAACCTTCTCATTATAATGTTGTATTTCCGTTTTGTGAACAGAATCTAAAGCGTTTACCGAACATTTAATACGCGATGAAATATGTTCTTGCGATTTTTTGTGTCTTTCGAAGCCTCTCGTTAAATTTTTTAAATTGCTAAAACTGACTCTGCCCCAAACCGATAAATTATCATTAGTGAAAAATAAACATCGCCAGCAGTATAATTTATTTCTAATAGTTGATGCAGTTAACCAGTAGTTTTTTCTACAATTATTATCCTTAAATCCCCTATTTTGATTTTCACCCACTGCAACTAAAGACGACAAAGAAGGTGTTGGTCTCGATTTCTGTTTAATTATGAGTTTTTCATCGTAACTGAGAGTACTAAGTCCTCTTAATAACAAATAAGTCACAATGTCCATGCAACTATACTCGACGGCCAAAATTATAGATAGTGATTCATCGCTAGCTCTTGGACTAGTAAGGGGGATGAAGCGTGCCGGGAACGAAAATCCATTGGCGTGTCTGCGTAAAAGGCAACAAGATATAGAAAATATTGAAAAAACATAATAAAATATAACATCTAATATTTTTTACGGTTTGCTATAACCGGCACTTTGATCAATTTTAATTATTACAGCATTTTAAAACGTCCCAGTTGTGTTTTTTTAATTTATAAATTTATTATAGCCATGGAATTAGACCCCTCGTCTACGCTTATGCTATGACCGTTTACACCCATTAAAAAAGCATTTCCCTATTCCCTACCAAGTGCAAAAGATAGAGATAAAATATAGAACGACGTTCAGTGCAACTCAGTCTATACACGATTATAGATTCTACCGATGTGCATGGCGAGCGGCACAAAGATAAATAATATTGAACCGTATAGAAATCATTTTATATTTTATACGCATTGTGGTAATAGTGTTTTTATATTATGTATTAGTCACTCTTTATAATTTTGGCTGCCGAGTATAAATAAGTTGTCGAGGTTATGTTCGTTTTCCACACACATTTCATTTTAATATAGTTAAGTACGTACCAGAGTAAAATGTAAATGATTGTTTTACTAATTAATTATAATGGTCTCACAAAATTTTTTAGGAAAAACCACATAAATACCAATTAAAAACAAAAACGCGTGTACTCACAGACAACCAATGTTTTTATTATGAAATGGGAAATGCAACTAATGTAACATTGCAACATGCAACTGCAATCGCCGAGGTGGTAGAAAAGGGCTATATTGAAAGATTCACTTGTTAAAAAGAGATGGAAGGTGGCAACAAGCCTCCGTGCTCGACTGGTTAAGCTCGAATGTAGATATCGTGGTATAATTTCAAGGTCACGTACCATATAGAACACTGGTAAAGGCTGGAGGCTTGAGAAAGTTAACTGCCAGCGACTATAATGCAAATTCGGAAGGCGCGAAAAATAGTGAACATTTAAAAACCGTATATTTACGTACTCGAGATGTCCCTTAGTAGGTACCTAATTATTGCATATGAAAATAGATTTGTATGAAAATTTCTTACATATTATTAATTATATGATGTAAAATAAAAAAACTAAAAGAAAATTTTTGCAATACTATCAAAAACTGCAGAGAAAGCTCAGCTTCCCCAGCCTCCTCTAACGAGCCGCCACTGCAATCTAGATAAGAATAATTAGAACATAATTCAGGAAGATCGAATTGCACCAGTACAGTCATGAGATTATTGCCATATTGCACCGATGCGAGCAAAGCTGAATTTTTTATTAATAACCAAAGGGTCTGCGTACATCTGGCAGCCACCGGCCTCACCATAGCTTAATCAGACTCTCAGCGTCAACGAAACTTGTACCATTTTTATTAAAATAATCACCATATTTTCTTATTTTTCTACACATCCTGTATCAATTGATTTTGATACTTCTAGGACAAAAAATATAATTTTGTACATTGTTAGGTAAATTTGTAAATGTTTGTTTTTACAACTGACAATGTTAAAAACAACGTATAATATATTTCATAATCAGCTAATAGATTAATAATTTTTAAAGATGTTTTTTTTTCTAAAAGTTTTGTCTGTAGCAGCTGTTTTTTACAAGATTAGTCTTTGTCAAGGGTGATAATAGAACAGCAAGAATACAGGATGTTTGTTCGACTGATTACATTAACAATTTCAATATATCAAGAATGTGCTTTTGTATTAATTATATTTACACATACCATTTCTAGTTTTTATTTTGGATAATTATTTATTACCGTTTACTGGTTATTGGAGGTTCGAGTAGTTGTTTTCCGCAATATCAACGGTTAGGAATCTTGTATGTGTAGTTACACATGTTTTGCACTTAGATTTCTGGTATTGAAGAATATTGTTTGACTTCATTCATTTGAATTGAATACCTTTAAAATAGATAAAAAAAGAATATTTACCTTAAATATACAAGGTATGTCTTTCTTATTCGCGTGAATGACATCAGAATCCTTAACACTAGATACACTAAACTGAGGATCACGCATATCTAATACTTGAGCTACATGAACACTTGGTAAGGCATTACGATCTGCTGATATGTCGTATAAAAATAGTTTAAAGTCACAAACAACAACGAATTGTCTGACCCAACCTACAACAAAATATTATGATATACAAATAATAAACTGTGATGAAATCCTAAAATTACCTTTTTTCACTCCTCCTTGTTTCGGAACTTTAACGTAGCCTTCGTAAGCTGTTCCGATGCCTCTTGTAGGATCGATTCCCAAAGGACGTTTGGCTGCAAATGTTTAAACAATAATTTGAAGATACTTTATTTTGTATAATGTAACATACTCTGGTCCGGCGGAACTGGACAAATAGCAGGAACGTGAGGGCAACAGGCCGTATGACAAGTAAATCCACATATTTCACAAACCATCCCCTGCCTCATAAGGCCCACCATCAAAGACGTACAATGGCTGCATTTTGTGGGACTAGAAAAAGTACGAACCAAAAACTGGTGCGCTTTGTGTTTCATGGGAGACTGCGACTCATGCTGTAGTGGATAAAATGCGATAATCAGAAGATGTAACAATCACGAAACGTTTCATACTTACTAAACTTAATTCTGATAAATTACTTTTCGAGCTAGACATGCTCAACGCTCTGTTGTCTTCTATATCTCCTTCTTCGGATTCGATCGAACCGCCTTGATATAAAAGGTTCTGAACAGGTAAATTGTCGTACGTATTCTGCTGACAAGACGAGTTAGTTTCTTTCAAAAACTGATCAAGGTATGACATTTGCGATGACGGCCTCTCCAAAACTGTAGAATCACAAAATAATTTAATGTAATATATACCTCACGTTAAATTTTGATGGTATATATTAATAAATATTAAGGAAACACACTATTAGAGAAACTATAAAAAATTAACAAACAAAAACGCATTCAGATACAATCCGTTAAATTCCTATTGGTAAAAACATGAAAAAAAAAATCACTAGCCTGCAAGACAAGACAATACAAATATATTAGCACTCCAAGCAGTAATCAACAGGAAAATAAGTAACTGCAAGCAATTGCACATTAGGCGATAGCAAAAAATTACGCTGAGACTAACCCTTAACGTGACGCTTGATGAAAGTTGAAATCCCAACACTTGCTGCATGTAAACAGTTCAATACTTCACATGTTAAATGTAAATGAAATATGTAATAATAGTTTTCAATAATTTATTAAAGATAAAATTCCAAACAAACTTAACAATAGCCTTTCATTTTGAAAATATAGAAACAAATCTGAAAATCGAATCGAGTTCATGAAAATGGTAAAAAATAAAATACTTGAAGTCTTGGTCAAAGTCGAGTATAAGAAACGGAAACAAAATATTAGTATCTCACAACATTACAACATATTCAATATCACACTTTTAACTGATAGCTTTTATATTCAGTAAACATGAAAAAGTTGATATAAATTCAATAAAATCACTGACAGGGATCTAAATTTTAATGAAGATTGACTATAGCGTAAGAACGCATGATAATTTGTCAGTTTTCGGAAAGGTTTAGGGTCTATTCATATGGTAATAATTATCAGCCTCTTCCAGGCAACAAATACTGACAATTAAGGGGTTCTAAGCTGGTTTTAAAGTCACCACATAAAGTTCTGAAGAACACTTGTCATCAAAAGTAAAAAATTTACAAAACTTAGCCAGTAATCAGAACAAGTAAACCATACAATCTGAGCATTTTGAATGAAACTCCACTGTATTTAACAATATTTAAAATAAAATTTTGTCTTCTAGTGTGGCGTAGTACCAAGTATCGTAAAAAATAGAAAAGTCATAACCATAGAAATAAACAGAACTTCATTCATAATATTAAAAGTTCTCAAAAACTTTTTAATGAAACATGAAATTGAAGGTTACCGTTGAAATTAAGAAAATCGCCAATGATATGTACGTCAAAATGTGCTCATTCTAAAATTAAAATCACTTTTTTGAGTTATTTTTGTTTTAATCACTCTGTATGGATTTTATCGAATTTGTTCCAACAGTTCTGTACTCATATAACCTAACAGATATTTGAGTTTTAACTCTTACAGTCTGTCTTTTCAGTACGTATAACAATTAAATATACTTATACTCGTATTCCGGGAACACAAGGTCCCTTTCATAGTATAAGTTACTACATGTAGTCTTAAACAGAAGATTTTCTGATTCAAGTAAATATTTGGCCTCTTATTAATTACATTTAATTATCAATTCACAAATAAAGAAAGTCTGAAAGGAAAGTATGGAATACATTCATTATTTCCAAAAGTTTCATTATATTTCCTCAGAACCATCGATTTCGTATTTTAAAGATACTTTTTCATGTACCTCCCCATCTTTTCCATATGTAATCGTTTGCACATAATGATCAGATTTTTTTTAAACAGAACGCCTATAATTTTCCGCATAATTTTTGTAAAGCATGACTGTCTCATTCAGCAACATACAATTATACTACTTTATTTACAGGTAAAAACAAAAAAGTGACGATTTGCAGAAATGTTAAACCGCGCCATTTATCTCTGAAATGCGTTGGTATAGATATAGGGACGTTGAATAAGTTCTCGCTGTTTTACAACAGATGGCATTACCGGACCTGCAAGCGTGTAGTTTAAGATGGTAGAACACCTGTAAGCAAGCTTGAAATTCAGTGTATGTTATTTGGCAGAAGTGTAATCTACGTTTTTTTTCATAGTATTAAACATGTCGAATTTCATGCCAAAACTACTTTATTCATAAGAAATCTGCAGCTGAAGCTCACAAAATTCTTGTTAAGACTTATAGCAACCATGTTCTGTTACAAACAACATGCACGATTGGTTTAGACGCTTCAAAAGTAATGATTTTGATGTTGAAGATAAAGATAATAACACACCGAAACTGTTTGGAGATGAAGAATTGAAGGCATTACTGCATGTTAGATGCTAGCTGAACTTGCAGAATCATTAGGAGCTGATTACACAAAGCAAGGACATTGATTGCCATACGAGTTGAAAACAAGAGATAACAAATGGTCTCTTTGCACGTATGAACAGCTGCTTCAATGGCAGAAAATGCGAGGGTTTTTGCATCGTATTGTAAGTGGTGACTAAAAGGATATGCTACGATACGATACACCTAAGTGTAGAAAATCGTTGGGCAAACCCAGCCATACCTCATCATCGTCGGCAAAACCAAATATCCATGGTTCGTAACTTCTGCTCTGCATTCGGTGGGATCAACTTGATGTAGTTTATTATGAGCTGCTCAATCTGAATAAAACCATCATGGGAGATAGCTATCGTCTACTTTCAAGGAAAAACAGCCGCTATACGAGCAGAGACATGACAAAGTGATTTTGTAGCATGACAACGCCTGGACACATATTTGCAATACAGGTGAAAACCTACTTGGAAACGTTTAAATGGGAAGTCCAACCCCCACCCGCTATATTCATCAGACATTGCCCCTTCTGATTATGACTTGTTTTGATAGATGACACATGGCCGGCTGAGCGGCACTTTCATTCTTACAAAGATACCAAAAATGGGTCGACTATTGGATAACCTCAAAAGAAGTCTCATTTTTGTAGTCACTTTCAGTGACATGTATTTTACTATTTTTTTTTAAATAAAGCTTTAATTATCATGAAAAAAACAGTGAGAATTTATTCAACATCCCGATTAAAGACTTAATGGGCTCATTCAGCAATTTTTTTTTATTTTTGCAATTTTAAGGTTCTCTGAAAAAAACTAGAATTTTATATCGCTTACAAGTCGTCCAAAAAAAATTATAAACTGGCACGCTGAGTATTCGCTGAACCGGCAAGTGTGATGTCACCGCATGGGAAACCGCTGCCCCATCCGTGTGTTGTCAGTGAATCGGGTAGTCGGGTTTGTATTGTTTCTCAGTGTGGAAATAAACACTCATAGTTACAAAAATATTTTTCTATCACGCGCGCTCGCTGTAAGACCTATAGCGTAGGGGGTTATGTGCACGGAAAGTGCCAGATAGTACAACGGCTTATTTTCATAGCACAATGCTCTAGCATTTTTCCTCACTCGTTACACAATATACTATTTCTACGCTTGTTAACAAAAGTGCACTTTTTTCACCAAAATGCCTTTCTAAAGAACGTATTTATCGAACGACAAGAAAGATTGACATCTTTTTTTCATGCTGTCAATTTGCGTTACAAAAAGTGGTTGGTATGGATTTATTTATTCTATTGTTGCGTACTCTGGATTTTAAAGTTGTTTATGCAAGGTGTGTAGCTAGTGCAGGCGGGGCGACGGACAATCTTACAAAGATCGACCACGTCAGTTGCGCGTTACTTATCATGATGTCATATCGCAGCTCACAGCAAAGCATTCTCGGGCCTGGTTGCACAAAAATATACACGTGATATATAACAACAACCCCCCCACCCCCATTGTGAGCAATAGTGATGTTATCCAAAGCCCCCCCCCCCTCCCCTAATTGGATCTCAGGTGATCAATGGATGCCCCCTTATATTATTAATATTTTATTTATAAGATAATAGGTAGATTTATGTAATTTCCGTGGGAATAAAAATAGTAATAAGAATTTGCATTTGATTAGGTAAATCTTTGAAACCTGTGACAGAAACGGTTTCGTCCGATTAAACGCAAAATCCATATTTTTATTTACTATTCTTATTGTACAAAAACATCAAAACTTTCACTACAAATGTACTTTAACCCTTTCACTGCTCCAGACGTATTTATTCGCTAAAAATTTTTAGGGCTCAAACTGCTCTAGACGGATTAATTCGCTTGAATAATTAAATTGGATCAGGCTGCTCAAACCATGTATATTCGCAACCATGCGCATAGTGACTCGGTTGTTACAATTAGTATGGAGAATTTTTGTGGGCAGAGCTTATAGCGATTGTGACAAATATTTTTATGGAAGGGTAATAATGCTAAGATTGTTCATCTCTCTTTCAGTTTCTATTTAGTACAGCTGTCAATATACTGTATTTTATTTAAAATAAAATCGTAAAATTGATCGTAAATCGTAATTTAACACAACATAATGTAAAACTATAAGTGGTCTAACTGCTCCAGACGTATATGTCCACACGCAATAAACTTTCGCGCACGGCACGGTTGCTATGTTCAGACGTATTGCGCAGCGAAAGGGTTAAAGAAGCTTTACACGTTATTGAAACGTACCTTTGCATTTTCAGTCTTCTCATCTCAGCACTGATAAAGCCGTGGTTTTTATTAAAAAAGTCGATAACCGTTAACAAACCTGCTTATGCAGTAACTCATCGGGAACTTCCGTAAGTAATGTACGCGCGCCTAACGCTACGCCGCGCGCCAGCCGGCTGACCGTCCCATGCGGTGACGTCATTGCATTGTCACGGCCAAGACAAATATTCGCATTTTAAAAATCATATAGTTTGAAAACCGCTCAACGAATCGAGTTGAAATTTTCAGGATCGCCTAATCATGTGCAATACTTTGTGTATACAAAATATGAACGTTTTTGAAAATTTACTGAATGACCCCATTATTAATTCTTAATAATTAAGTTAATGAAATGTTGAACAACATAAGGCAAGACATGTTCAAACAACAGGTTTATTTATTCTGTGCAAGAAAATGGTTATAATTTTGGACACTTGATTCATTTCCCTATTTCTGCAAATAATTTTTTACTTTTTATCCCCAGGAGTTGAATAAATGTAGTATGCACTATAATTCTATGTTGATGAAGTTAGAATGTTATGTTCTACTAGAATTTGGCTGAAAATTACAGTCATTCTACAAAAAATAGCTCACAAATTCGTCACAAACATAATCGACGTGTCAGAGGAAATGTCATGAAACTACATTCTTTGAGAAAAAATGAACTTATTCCATATTTTTTCACCGAACAATGTAATAGGAATATTTAAGTATTCCCCAACTAATTACCTATAACATTACAAATTATTCTTAGAAATGCCAAAAATTTTGATGAAAATCCTCCTTAATTTATTTAAATGTACAGTCACATACACAGCCATATATTCCCATTAAAAACTTTTGAGAATGGTAACATATCATTTATGTCATAATTTAACGAATTATAATTGAAATGATTAAAAAATAAATAGTTTATTGTAGTAATGATAGACGAAACAAATAAACAATATTAATTAATTATTTTAAGATTTGTCTTCTATATTTCCTTTTATTTTAATAAAATTATAAAAATCTAAGTAATGTACTATTTCAAACATTACAGACAATAATTCTGTACTTCTTTTGTATTATATTTAAAACCTGCACTGAAATGCAATAGAGGTGTTAAAAAAAGTAGCAAAGTATTATTAAAAGTAGTCTTTTAACCATAGAGCCGCATGTAGAGCAACATTATCCCCCAGACGCAGGATGTAATTCCAATCACCAAGGGCAGTTGTTTCAGCCAAGAACCGACTAAATACAATATATAAATAATTACCACCCGCCTGGGAGTGCTAATATACATTGCAGCCAAAGAAGCCACTAAGTCTCATATAGATGGCTGCAATGTTTGAATATTAATCTAAATTGTTTGGTATGATTATTTTTTACGACACCAACGGTACGGTTAACAATAATAAGGAAATAGGTGCAAAAATATTAACACCAAGCAATTTAAATTAATACTTTGATAATAAATCAAATCAACTTACATCCTTCGGAATCCAGTCGATTTTGAAAGTCCTTAATTTGCTTCTCCTTTCTTTTAAGATCAAGATTTAAAGCCTCATTACGCTGTCTGTAATCCCTTAATTCCCTGTAAAATTCGTATTTTAAAATTAGTTCAGTAAAAACATGCAGAGATTTTTACTTTTGAGCTGCTAACAGTGCTTCCCTAGTTCTACTCAGATCTTCGCTGATAGACTGCTTAGCTTGTATTTCGCTCTGCAGAGAACTCTGTAGGTTAAGCAGCTCCATTTTATCTAACTTTTGCGATCTTCTGTTTCTCCAGTTTTTATCTGACCCACCCACAGCGTTGGATACACCTTAAAACATATGTGACAATATCATCATTTTAACTAGTGATATTATGGAAAACAATTAATTTGCAAACTACAAGCTCCATCCAACACTGGATTACATCTCCTATATTTAGTAAACAACTAAGAGCATCAGAAACATCAGCGGCATCACCAGACACATACCACAATTTATCAGTTCTCATCAATGGGTTTGCCTTTTATATTTCGGGAATAGAGAACAAGAAAAGAAATTAATCATCGTATATGGCTTTATCATTTTTCAAAATATTCTCCATGAAGATCAATACCGTTTTGCATACTCTTGAATCAATTTTCAAAGCACTTTTTCCATTCGGATTGAGGTACCTCCAAACATGCATTTTGAACACCTTGACCACTCAAGTGTTGAAAACTTTTGATATGCGGAAATAAAAAAAATCATCGGGTGCCAAATCAGGGCGGTACGGTGGATGACTCATCAATGACTTTTTTAATTCTCAAAAAGTCTCTGATTTCAGCCGAAGTGTGAGAGCTCACCGGTTGGTTTCTCCCTTATGTTTCTGAAGACTTGTGGCAAACAAATGGTTGTATACCATTCAGAATTGATCGTATGACGTTGCACTAATGGTACAGTTACATGTCCCGTTTTTTTGAAAAAAGAGGTAACCATTTAAAACTGCTTCGTGAGCGAACAACTTTTGTTGCATTTGGCTCATCTTAAAAGACCCATACAATCAGTCAACACACACAAATTGTCACCTGTTACAATGTCATAGAGTTTAGAAGCACCATGATCGTATTTCTTAAGCATGTCTTTCGAACAATCGACACAAGCCTTTGGTGTTTATGCATTACACTTTTTCGAGTTTCAAAGTTTTCTCTTTCAAGAATCCAGAGCCGCATGCAATATTGAATGTATGCTGGCTACACTAATGCTCAAGGATCTCCTAATCTCACAATAAGTCACATGACGATCTTGCGATATCAGTTCACACACAGCATCGATGTTTTCTGGAACCGATTTTGGACAATCTTCATGAAATTTGTTGATGAGCAAACCACGGGCACGATTGAATTTCGTATAGCACCGATACACAGTAGTTTCTGATGGTGCTTCATCGCCAAAACTCGAATTAAGTTCACCGATGCACGTTGAAAGTTGTAAAAAATAATTGCACGGAAATGTTCACAACTTCAATTCCACTTTTTGGCCAAGATTAATTTTTCAAGTCACTGTAAACAACATAAATAGCGCCTGTAATTCAAAACGTTCTGAGTAAGTACACCAACAAAAAGACGAATTTTACGATAGGAACAGCCATTGTCAGAACGCAGCACTACGATCGTCTACTCCCGAAATATATAAGGCAACCTCTTAAAAAAATACATTACAAATATAAAAATTATCTATTGGCTGAGCAACAATACGAAGTGGTATTGTCATAGGTGGTGGACTGTATTACAATGTAATAAAAAATTTATAGACTTGTGTTCTAGAAATATTGTTTCAAGAAAACACTAGGTACACAGGATATAGCAAAAGTACTGGAACAGCAGAATAAGTCGGCAGGAGAGCATTTTAGAGAAAAATGTTAAATACAAAAGTTTCAGGATTTCTCCCTGGCTATCCAACGGTGACCTTGACATTGACCTTGAAGATCATTTCAAGGTCAAATGTGATTTTTCAAATGGGACCCTATACTTTTGGCCCCAGAAATGAAAAAGCGGAAAATTTTAGGTTCAGATATGACCTTGAGTGACTCCTCCCTCAAACAACAAAAGTACAAGAATGGCAGAATATCTCGGCAGGAGAACATTTTAGAGAAAAATGTTAGATACAAGTTCCAAAATTTTCTGCTCTTTTCATTTCTGGGGTCAAAAGTATAGGGTCCCATTTGAAAAATCACATTTGGCCTTGAAATGATCTTGAAGGTCAAGGTCTATGTCAAGGTCACCATCGGATAGCCAGGGAGAAATCCTGAAACTTTTGAATTTAACATTTTTCTCTAAAATGCTATCCCGCCGAGTTATTCTGCCGTTCCAGTACTTTTGCTATATCCTGTATACCTAGTGTTTTCTTGAAACAATATTTCTAGAACACAAGTCTATAAATTTTTTATTTTTTGATTTGATTTTTCTGACTTCAATCTGGAATTACGATTTTTCAACATTTATTTGCAAGTTGGGAAGTAGATAGTATTTGTTTTCAACAAGGGCCCCTCCTCATTTCGGGATTGCTGTAAGGAATTATTTGCATGAAATTTTTCCAAATAGATGGATAGGTCGAAGAGGACCCATTGAGTGGCCACCACGTTCACCCGATTTAACTCCCCTAGATTATTTCTTGTGGAGCTACTTAAAAAGCAGAGTGTACGTTGATAGACCGGACACCATCAAAGGATTAAAAGTGCGTATAAGAGAAGAAATTAATCAGATACCACCAGAGGCAATTCAAAATACCACGGATGAACTCGAACGTCGACTCGTCCATTGCTTAAGTGTTAACGGGGGTCACTTTGAACATTTTCTTTAAGTCGCATAAAACTGTTTAATAAAAATTCATAAGTTGTTTTTGAGAAATTTTTTCGCATTCTTTACATTAAATTAAGTAATACATTTGACTGTTTTTTTCGCACCTGTCAAAGTAAAGTAGACCAAACCCTATATCGACGCATTTCCATTTCGATGACATAGATTTATGAAACATAGCGCAAAAAAAGTTTAAGCAACGTGACAAAACGATAATTCCTATATACCAATTGACGTGTTTTAGTGTTTTTGTGAGAACGCAACACAAAATAAAAAATTGATACGTTTAAAACAACATCTTACCAGCATGTTTAAGGTAATCTAACTCTTCTGTCATTTTTGTTGCCAAAGCTTGTAAATACGCCCTAGCGTCCTTTTCGTCGCTTACCCACTGGATTATTTCTGCTAACTGTGACTCCCACTGACCCAACGCTTCTTGTTTATTTCTCAGTTGGTCGTATTCAGATTCGAGGTTAGTTCTTTCTGTTTGGAAGCGGTTCATAGATTCGGTTAACTAAAATAAAATTCAAACCAATTTTAACAAAGCGGTAATTTCTCTTATTTTGTATATAGAACTAAAAACGCATGAAAATAAAATGATGTACAAAAATAAAAACTCACAAATTCGATATTAGAAGAAAGTTTTTTATTATCCTCCAATAAAATTTGTTTATCTCTTTCGTGACGACGATTTAATTCAGCAATCATCTGTTCAGAATCTGATATTGCTTCTAATCTAGATTTTTCCACTTTCTCTTTTAATGATTGTACCTAATAAATAAAAGTAAGAAAAAAATGAAAATGAAACAAAAAAAAAGGAAAAATATATATAAATGTGAATATCTAAAAAGATGTAAAGAATTATATATTACGCTATTCTTTTATTATAATTAATTTAAGTAACATTAAAATTGTCTTTTTATCAATCTTATATCCTTAGAATATTTAAATTAAAAAAATAATAAATAACAAGTGATGTATGTACGCTGACTGTCATTTTAAAGGACTTTCAAATTTTACAAATTCCCTGCTATGTTTTCCCCCTTATTTACAAAATTCACTTCTGGAATAGTATCCGATACTACAAGACTGATACATACTAACAGAAAGGATTTACATCGAGCGAGCAAATTAAAATAAACATCATTCCTGTCATTGGTGTATGTTGCATTTGATATACAGTGTGGGTACACATGTCTGCATGTGACCCATTTTAAGTATCATATTAAGGGCGCCAACCTGACACCGGATCGGTCTAACAGTTGCAAGCAATAAAAAACAAACAAAAATCTGCAATATGGGACACACACACTATGGTTCCAGAAAAGGGCCACGACAGATTGGCGCCAGAGTCTAGATACTGATACTTGCGAGCGCCTCCTCCTGGCACTCTCTAACGAACGCTCGTCCCGACATTTCTTTTCACTGCACTTTAGACAGATTCAGTCAGTTAGTCGGCAGCCACGTTTCAGGACAGTCAGTTGCCAACCACATACAAGTCAAGTCAGTCAGCCTCTGATTGTACTAACCGGAGTGTTCCGGATGATTTTGCCGTAACTATAATATTGTGTTTCATTTATTTTACTGTCATTTATCACCCACTACAATGCATCAGAAAGAATTCGACAACCAGAAATTTGGCTTCAGCCCTTTCTAGTGCTATTATTAAAAAAGAATTCGTAACCTAAAAGGGATTAAAATAAAAAGATTTTAATACAGAACTGAGCTTAACCTGTTATTAGAAAACCCAAAATATTAAGAATGTCGACATATTGTATAAAAATAGAGATGGGAAAATTCCCAAACTATGAAAATTCCTGGAAAGTTTCCATTGAAAATTTCGGAAATTTTCCGAAAATTTCAAAAAAAATTTTTTGGATTTGGTATTGTGTTCTACATACCATCAGCTTTCCAAAAAGACCAAATACTTATATACATTTTTATTTATATTGGTATAAATATTGGAAAAATATAAATTATGTATTAATCATCCGTTAGAAAAAATTACATGCTGAGGGTTACAGTGCATAAACACTATACAGTATACAATATTTATCTTTATTTTTTAACAAACAAATAGTAAATACATTAAATAATTATACTAGTTTTAAAATGTAATTATACTTTGGTTCAACTATCAAAATTCATATTAAATTTGAAAAGGAGGCAATTTATGAGTCTTGTATTGCTCTTTATTATGTAGATTGTAGACTTAACAAAGATTAAAATAAGTAAGTGTAAGTGTTTTCTAACTTATTTGGATAATATGGTCTTCTGGTATTCCGAATTAACCGAAAATCCGAAATTAACCAACGATTTTTTGTGTATGTTCATAGAAGTTAGAAGTAAAACTGGCTCCAAGTTTACAAATTGTTAGAAATATTCCCGGAAAATTTCCGATGGAAATTTTTTCAGAAGCTTTCCAGGGAAAATTTCTCAAGCTTCGATTATTTCTTCCCGGAAAATTTCCGTTTTGGAAATTTTCCGGGACGGAAAATTTCCCATTGCCCATCTCTATATAAAAATCATTCTATTTTTTCTATATAATAAGCATTTCTGAGTAGGGGGAACATAAATTTATGTACAAACAGATACCAGCATGCAGTTTAGACCTGCTATCAAACAACAAATATGTTTACTTGTAACCGAGAATTAATTTATTAATAATTATAGATTTATTTAGCTAACAAATAGTTGAGTTAACGTTACTCAACGAACAGTGCTATTATATCAACACAATTGGGTGTGGACTCATTTTAACAAAAAATTGTGTTAATTTAGTCAAAATTTGCTGAATTTTTTTCCCAGTGTACTTTGTATACAAATTTCTTCTGCCTAGTAAAATGTACAGTCAACGGTATGTGAGGCAAAATAATAAATTTATTCAAATTAAAACTTTTAACAGCAATGAAAAAAAATTATTGTTCAAAAAAGAAATACATACCTCTCGTTCTAAGAGGTCCCTATGTGTTTCTGCCTCATGTAGTTGTTCCCGCAGCGATGATATTTCCAAGTTATACCTGGCTTGTTGCTGTGCTAAACTCTCATTATATTGAACCTAAAACTTCCTTGCATGAAAAATTTACACTAAGAAACAAATTATGTAAAATTTAGATTTTTTTTTAACGCTTGAAAACACTTTTATTTCATTACTTAGAATGGATTAAAATCATAATTAAAATTTAAGCACTACTTCTGCTAAATAATGAAAATTTACCCCGGGAAATCGTTGAAAAGGTCCACAATATGATTCTCGTTGATAGTCAAACTAAAATGCGCAAAATAGCAGAGGCTGTAGGTATATCATACGGAACAGCAACCAATATTTTACATAAGTTAAGGGTAAAAAATGTGTCGGCCCAATGGCCGCCGCGATTGCTCACAGTGGATAACAAGCAGATACTGCTGTCAATGTCGAAGCAGTGTTTGGACCTCTTTAAGCGAAATTTGCGGGAGTTTTGCGTCAAGTGCTTACGGTTAAGATACATTACCAAATAACAGTCAAAACAATGTATTTTTCCCGGTGAATCTGCTTTAAAGAAGGCAAAAATGGCCCCATTGGCTGGAAAGGTCACGGCCATAATTTTTTGGTATTTGAAGATAATAATCTTCATGGACTCTTTGCAGAAAGGAAGAACGATCATGGGGCAGTACTACAGTGAATTATTGGACCGATTCGTTACGAAATTGAAGGAATCACGGCCCCATATGGCCGTTTCACCACAATAATGCATCAGCACATTCATCCAGAATTGTCGCGGCCAAATTGCATGAACTGCGCTACGAATTGCTGCCGCACCCACCGTACTCTCCCGACCTGACTCCCTGAGAATTATTTCTATTCCCCAACATGAAAACATGGCTCGGGGAAAAAAATTCAGCTCAAACAAAGAGGCCATCGCCGAGACAGAAGCTTATTTTCAAAGTTTGACAAATTGTATTTTTTGGAGGGGTTAAAGAAATGGCAGAAACATTGGGAAAAGTGTATCGACCTAAAAGGAGATTAGGTAGAAAAATAAAAAATTGTGAAAAAATTGCATATTAATTCCTAATAAGGGTACTTATTGATCGACCGTTGTATGTACATATATTAGGAACATATTTCAGTAAAGATTATTATTATAACAATTTCAAAATTCACATGTACCTCTAATTTTTCTAGTTCAGCTTTCAGCCTGAGAGAGTCTTGCTGATCCCTAGGACCATGTTCACTCCTAACCCTAAGCCGATCAGATTCAGCCTGCATCTGTCGACAGTATTCCTCTGATCGTTCCCTTAATTTTCGTTCTTTGGTTGCTTCTGCCTGAGCTTCATCAACTCGAGATTCTAATTCTCTCCTTAATTTTTCTGCTCTCCTTATGTCATTCCTTAAGGAATCTACTTTCTGCATTGCCGTTTCTAATTCTTCTTCCTTATCCCGAACCTACAATACAAATTTAGAGTAGACAAGTCTTAAGAAATCATAACATCTTATAATGACTGTCGTGTGCTGAGGTTTGCAATTTAATTTTGTCAAGATAACAATTTTTTAGCATCCAAATTGGAAATATTATACAGGGTGTTACAAGTTGGACTGCCTTAATTTTAACAGACGATAGAATACATTAAGGTGGCCATATCCCTGGCCGAGAAATGGTGAAATTTCTGGCATTTTTAGGAAATTTACCCAAAATAATTAAAAAAAAGCGTTTGTAGAACATGCGTTTTCTGTTATCCTAAACCCACATTTTAAGAATTATTTTTACGTACTTATAAATAAAAGTAAACAATTTTATATGTAGGACTAAGCAAGTAAATGTTATAAGAATATTTGCATGTGGAGTTATATATAAAAAAGTTAGTATTTTCGTAGATTTCAGTACCTAAAACCTTGATGGTTTGATCATTTTTTGCACCTGTTTATGCATTTTATTGCGGTGTCTTTGAAAATACTCAGGTGGTATGACATAACATTCCTATTATTTGATAAGCTTTAGATTATTCAGTTATTAAATGTTTGAAATTATTTGTCTTTGCGGAAAACACTATTTAAAGAATATGGGGCCCTTAAATAAACATTAAAACCTTATATGACATGGCTCCTAAACTCAACCATTTTCGAGAAAAAAATGATCAAAATCCCCAACTTGATGTACAAAAGTCCGATCAACACAATTCAGTTGGTATCTGGAATTTGACCGTATCGGAGTGTTTTCTGAGTACCACTATTTCCTGTTTAGGTGTTTTCCAGCGAGTGCGCGAATAATGGATTCGAAGGTGTCATGCGTGCATAGAAAATGGTGGTGGAAATTTTAAGCATATGTTGTAGTTGGTTTTATATTTGTGCGTTTAAAAATTACTGAATTTTGCTTTTAGGTAAGTATCTAAATTATTTTTAATACGTATGATTATTTGAATGACATGAATTTTTGAGTACTTTAATTATATATTTTTCAAATTCATAATTTGATTAATAGTTAAGTTCCTGTTTTAAGAGATTTATAATTACTAAAATTCGAGCTAAAATTTAAGCACAACACTATCTTCGTACTACAAAATTGATATGTTTTATTTTATTTATTTAAAAACTGGAAAACAATTGTCTTGAAATTTACTAAATGTTTCAAAATAAGTTGTTTACATTTTTTCCATAGGACAAGTTTGCCGCATGCCGTCATGGTATGCATCAGCTGTGTAGAGTTTGGTTAACGTTGTGATGAAACTCCCCTATATTAATACTCGCTGTATTTTGAAAACTGTAATATACAACTTTTTTGTTCATTTATGATAACTCTATCTCATGTTGAAGTAATGGCAGTCAAACTTCTTACACGCTGTAGTCATATTCTCGTTACATTTTGTTTTTTAAATATTTTATAAAATTTTCCGTTAGGACACTTCTCTTGATTGCACAAATTTTTGCTATACGAGAAGTGATGTACCATTGTTTTGAGATGGGAAAAAGTGGGGGCTAGCGATGGATAATATTTTCAGTTCATTAAAATCAAAGCATTACGAAAATTTATTCCACAACTATTAAATATTTTGAACTACTAAACCCACAATCTTTAAAAAATAACTAGAAAGGTAGGCAAGTCTGCTGACGCGGACTTGACCATTCCCTCGGGCCTTCGGCTCCGCGGTGCATTCTCCGTAGGTTAGTAAATAATATATAAAATTTAAAAAAAAAAAAAAAAAATTCGACCCACCCGTGTTTTGAACCCCAAACCTTTGGCTTCACAGTCGCGAGTTTACAGAATGAGCTACAACGGTCTAACGCTGGGTGGAGCCTGCACGGGCTATTTGAAACTTGGGTATCCGCGGATATAAACAGAAAATTGAAAATGTTCAAATGAAGTTTTATCGTCAAAGTAGCGTTTCTAAAAGATCAGAACCGGTGCCTACTAGCAAAATAACGACTCACAGAGGCCCGACCGTCCGGGAAAACGCGTCAAGTGACAAAATTCATTTTGACGTCTTCACTGACATTTGTCTCCATCTCCGTTTAAATATCAGATATACTTCGGGTATCTCTCTCGCACCGAAAAAAGTCAAGGACCCTTTTTAAAGTGGAAATTTCACATAGAAGGTGCGAACAGATCATGTTCAGAATACGACGTTGAGATAAAGGCTCGCAAGGAAAGGCTTTGATAGGGCAAGTCGCCTCTTTTCGCAGCCGAGTGTGGGAGCGAGAGTAACCTAGGTAATATTACGCACCTGTCTAGAAAACTTCTGTTTCTGCTGCCTAAGTTCCGCTAATTTGTCCGACACCTCTGTATATTCAGTCATGGCTAATTTTTTTTGCGCCACAGCATCTTTTAACTCTTTATCTTGAAACTTCAATTTTTCCTGTAAATCTTGTTTATCTTTTTGAATTTCTTCTTTCTCCTGTTTCAATATCCTAATAAGTTTTTCCATTTCCTTAAGTTTACCTGATAATGCAATTCAGAAGAGAAAACGAAATAATGCAATAATTATATTAAATACAGTAGATTCTCGAATTTTCCATTCCTGCACATATTTTAATTCTCAAGTTGCTCAACTTTTGAGTAAGGTTTTTCAGTAAGAAATAAGTTTTCCGTTGTTTAAACATCGAAGATCTACTGTAATTATTATTATTTTTATATATAAATATATGTACTTACTGTTATCAGAGCCATCTAACGAATCCGTCTGAAATTCCCTTGATTGACCAGCTTCAAGGCTTCTTATTTGAGACTCTAGTTCGCAATTTCGTTTTGTTAAAATATTAATTTCATCCTGAAGTTTCCTAGTTCCATCGGGTGAAATTCGTTTTTCACCTTCTTTTTCGTTACCCATTAAATCGCTTTTATTTCGTTGATTTTGTTTATCAGTCGAATTCGATTTTATATAACACGAAAGATTACTTAAATCACAAATATAACTGCAACAAATATATTATCTTTAGGGCCAAATTATTAAAGTAAATTTAACTTACAGTTAACTAACTATAACCTTAGAATACGATTTTTTGCAATTAAAACGTACACCGACATCAACACATTCTAATCTTCCAGTTAGTTAACTGTAAGATAAACTTACTTAATATACGAATCAATGCATAAATAACAGACTTTCCTCCATTCTAACGCATATTTTTTTATAAAATGGAGTTAGTTTGAAACTCAAATTACTTTTTGTTGTAAAGAAATTTGTAATTTGCCGCTTTTGAACAAGCGGCATCGTAAATTACAAATTTTGTTACACCAAAAAGTTATTTAAGTTTCAAAGTCCATCTTATAGACAATCTGCGTTAAAATGGGGGAAAAGATTGTTTTTTGTACATTAATTCATATTTAGATAAACTGTGTAATAAAATCTATTAAAAAATGTATTGCCGATAGCCTATTTGCTGTCTTAATCACAAATGACAGAATTCGAAGTGTGCACTGTTAAGTAAATTTAATAAATTCGGCAACTATTACCCTATACAACTTCTAAATTGCTATGAATTCTGAAATTAGCAGGTTAAATGAAAATTTACATTTTTATTTTCAAATATATATCTTAAAAAATTCATATAGAGCATTCATAAATGATTACAAGCCACGTGACCGCCGAGCTTAGGCAACCAACATTCCACGGCTGGTACTGTCAACTAAAAATCTCCAAATATTAGCGGCACCAATATTAATACCAGTTTTGTGTAATGTTTTCGCTATTTATTTTTCTTAATTAGAGTAACTGGTTAAAAGCAATTATCCAGGCATCGAGTGAAATCGTCCATTTGCCCCACACTCGACGAGTTCCGCGTGCATGATTCCACCACGACTCCTGCTATTCAGGGGGGGATCAAGCCCATAAAACCAGTTTTCCTGGCAGAAAATGGGCAATTCAGATCTTAAACTCGAAGAACTCCAGCACCACCCCGAGGATCTGATACCGTTACCTAAGACCGCCATCCGAGCCGGAATAAAGCCATTTGGGACCGGCATATTTGTTGATTATTTACTACTCTGATTTGCTAACCTTTTTTTATCTCTAGCACCGACCGAAATTAAAAACCAAATAATTATTTATGGCGTACCGTTTCTTAGAGTATTAGATTGTTTATTGTAAAATAAACCAAACTTCCTAATACTGAATCTGTTTACCGTACCGATTTTGTGTCCTGACCACCAATATTTTACTATGTTCTAATTTTGTATTTCTTTACAGCGCCGGAAAACCGAATAGACATTTTAATTCTGTCGTAAATAATTGCTCTAACCAATTTTATTTTATTCACACCGCTTGTAAATTATTTTTACATTTCTGATTTTAGTTGTTTACAATAATTGTAATTAGAATCTATTTTACTTTTGATTGTTTCAATTTCTGTAGGCCTTAATAATATAATTTTTTTTTTTTTTTTTTTTTTTTTTTTTTTACACATACACATATATAACTTTTACACGTCAATCATGTAGGAACCTAAGTATAAAAAAATAATACTTGTTAAATCTTATTTAACGTTGTATCTTAGGTGTTAGGCCTACTTTTAGAAAACAGATAAAACAATTACAGTATATTAAAATTAACACTAAGAAGAAAAAAAAGAAACAAAAACGTTATACACATTGCACCTAAGTGAATTAACACTTGTATTGTGCAAGCACAAAATCCATTAAGTATATGCTGTATATACAATAATATGAGTAAAATTCAAATTATTATTATCATCTTTCGTATTAGCTAGGATATTATTCAATCAATGACAAAAAAGACAAATAGTTGTTACTTATGTATGTTTTGCAGAGGTGCGAGTATTTTTTAAAGCTTTTGGTTCTTCTTATTTCTAAGGGTAACAAGTTGTATGTCTTGGGAGCTAAATGTGTCGCAAATCTCAAACCTATGGTTTTATTATTAAAAGGTGTTAGTAAAGCTTCGTTTGACATACTCCGAGTTACCCTAACATTCATTATCAACTGTTTTTCATTTTTAAATACATTTGTACACAATGAATGGAAATACAAAGATCTAATATTACATATTCCATCCTTGAAAAGTAAACTGGTCGGGTATAATTTATTTTTTTTTAAAATGATTTTTAATATATAATTTTGTACAACAGATAGCTGTTTTAAAGTCGTATTATATAAACCACCCCATACCAGAATACCATAGCGATAAATGGATTCCACTAGAGATTTATAAACTATAAGTAATATTTTTTTGCTTAAGATATCTCTTAATTTGTAGAATCTAAAAATCAGTTTTCGAGTGTTCGCTGTTAATTTATTTATATGCTGCTCCCATTTAATGTTTTTGTCAATTACGATACCTAAATATTTTATGGAATATACTTCATTTATTACCATGCTGAAACGTTCAATATTAATCCTATCATAGTTGGGCCTATTTTTGCTGGTAATTGAAAATGCTATGTATTTGGTTTTACCAGCATTTAGAGATAACTGATGTCCATCTAACCATATTTTAATAGCAGTTATGCCACGTTCCATTTGTTCTTTAACTGTATCCCAGGTATCACCAGAGAAAATGACTACAGTATCGTCTGCATATGACAGTATTTTACCACTAGTATTTAAGAATAACAAAGAATTTAAATATATTATAAAGAGTATGGGCCCTAAAACAGTGCCCTGTGGCACACCTATTTTAACTTCCTGGGGATCACTAAGACAATTATTAACTCTAACATATTGCATTCGATCAGTTAAATAACTAGTAAAAAGCTTTAGCACATTTCCTCGAATTCCATAACTATGCAGCACATTAAGAAGCTTGTCATGAGGCACTGTATCAAATGCCTTAGCCAAGTCTAAAAACACTGCAGCACACTTTCTACTTGAATCCAGATTGTCTGTGATTTCCTTTACTACTTCATACATTGCATCCTCTGTACTTTTACCTTCCAAAAAACCAAACTGATGTGGACTCAATATATTGTTATTTTTAAGAAAACTTACAAGCCTAGTTTTAAGACATTTCTCAAAAATTTTTCCAAAATTATTTATCAAGCTAATAGGCCTGTAATTGGATATTCTCGTATTATCACCATTTTTAAATACAGGAGTAATGATAGAGCTTTTAAATTGAGAAGGCACAATACCAGTGGCAAAAATTAAATTTATTATATGTGTAATAGGCTGAACTATCTGCTTGTGAGATGACTTTATAAGTTCGGCAGTAATTGCATCCATACCTGGAGCCGAATTTTTTTTCAATGAATTTATTTGTAATATTATTTCATTTTCTGTAACAGGCGTTAAAAACAATGAATTATTAATTGGCGGTATTTGAGAAGAAAAGTCATCAGGTATCTTTATATTGTTGGCCATTTTAATACCAATGTTAGCAAAATATTCATTACAGTAGTTCGACATATCTTTATTATTATCATATGGTTGACCATCTTCATTGGCAATATTAAAAGAACATGCATTATTTTTAGATTTTTCATTGGTAGCTTCAGATATTACTTGATAAATTTTTTTCATATTGTTTTGATTAAGTAAAATAATATCTTTATAATACTCATGCTTACATTTTTTTAACAGCTTATTTAAATTATTTCTATATGTTTTGTACTCTATCTCCAAATCCTGAGAATAACTATTTGTCAGTCTTTTTTTCATTTTATCTCTAATTATTATTGACTTGGTTAGACCAATTGTAATCCAAGGTTTGATTTTCTTAGGTACTTTATTATTAGTGGGTTTGGTATAAGTACTCTGAGATACAATTTTTAAATATGTTTCAGTAAATATATTAGTAGCAAGTTGAGAATTATTTAATTGCAAAACATGATTCCAACTTTCATTTTTAATCAAATTAATGAATTTATTAATATTAATTTTAGAAAATTTTTTAGTATTAATTTGCTTGATTGTGTCATAACTTATAGAATCTTTACTAAAATGTATCATGACAGCATAATGATCAGTAACGGAGCATTTAAGTATATAGGAGTCAATTTTAAAACTATTGACACCCTGATTACGTTTTACAAAAATATGATCAAGGCATGAAGTAGATTCTTTTGTAGTTCTAGTTGGAGATTGAATGTAGGGCACAAATCCATGTTTAGCTAACATTGACACATAATTGTTCACATACTCATTTTCTTCTAATATATTGATATTAACGTCGCCCACTATGAGTTGAAAACAGGCATCAGCTTTATTTAAGTCTAAATAGTCATCAATATCATTGATAAAAGCACCTATATTAGTTGGATTGGGTCTATATAATGCAATTATCCTAAAAAGGACATTACCAATATTGATTTCCATAATGCTTAGTGTTACCCCACTTATTTCCAACTTTTTATTATGGATTGAAGTTTCAAGACCCTTTTTTGCAATAATTATAACTCCATCATTTTTATTAAAATCCGCATGATTGTAAAAGGTATTATAACCAGGAATATTAAACTGATCTATAGAATCCACTTGAAAGCATTCACTTAAGATAATAACATCATAATTATAATCTAATTCATAGGTTACAAAAGTAGCAAGTAATTCATCAAAATTCTTTCTTATACTACGAATATTAAGATGAAAGACCCTAAGAACAGCATTTGTTTCAAACAGTACCTTACTGTCATTAATACCAACATATCTTCCCATGCGATTTCCTCCGACGCATTCGAGTTCTTGCAAAATTAAATCTTCATTGAGTAGTACCATTATACCAATGAATAGTCCGTTTTACTTTGTAACAGCAACTTTTGGAATTCTAAACTGGCACATGACAGGTCTGAGGCAGCATGTTCAACATTATAATTTGTATTAAATTTTTCATTAGAAATAACACAGTTTTTACAACACAATTTCACTTTAGGGCAAATATTTTCCTCATGCTCTTCACTACACCTTGGGCATGTTAATTTGTTACGACAATCTTGCTTTTTATGATAAAAACCCTGGCAGTTAAAACATCTTGGCACATCCAAATCCTCATATACTGAATACCTTTCCCATCCAATACATAATTTTCTGTCAACCATTACTTGTTTAAATGCAGTAGCCGAACACTCACAATAGATAGTATGATGGTCCCTACTCTTTTTTCTAATATATGTTGTTTTAATGACCCCTGCCAAATTATTTTGTTCTGCAATACTATTATCAATTTCATCTGCAGTCATGTTACCATCAAAATTAACAATTTTTATTCTTGGCTTTCTCATTTTTGTTTGCTCAATTAAATAGTTGTCCTTTAGTTTATCCTTTACTGCTTTTTCTAAAATATCAGTCTCTTCTTTTGTTTGACAAGTGATATGGATAGAACCTGATTTGGTAGATTTAAAATGCTTTATACCTATCTTTAATTCTGAAGGATTAATATATTTGTCCAGATCCGACTTAGTTTTTCTACTATCTTGTTCCCCCTTTGGCTAAATAATGATCTTTGGCTGATTTTCTTTCCTTTTATTAACCTCTGGTGCACTAGTTACAGATGCATAGGATAATTGTGTAAAACTTGCAAGTTTATCTTCAACTTGTTTGACTTTTTCTTGTAGCATATTAATAATTACATTTTTGTCATCTATTATTTGATCTTTATCCTTTATAGTATTCCGTAAAAAATCAGTTAGTTCATAATTTCTGCATTTTTTGCATATAAATTTCAATAAACGAGTTCGTAAAGCTAAACATTTAATTTCCGAGCTCGAAAGCTCAGAGCAATCATTACATATTAAATTTCTGCACGAGTCACAAGGCGTACAAGGATTTTTTACATCTTTAGAAGGTTGCAAAGTTCTCTTACACACTGTACATCACATTCCACGTTCCATATGCTAAATTCACTTTCCTTTTTTAGAACAACAAAATTTGTTTCTATATTGCTACTTTTTACTTTTAAGATAAAGACTTGGTTTTTGTCACCTTCTTTTTGGCGTTTAAATAGAATTTCTTATCATTTATATCCATTACTATGAGTGCACAAATGCATAAATACCTCTATAGACGTTTCTTAGAGATCTTTTTTAATTTGTTATTAAAAAGCACTGCACTTTATTAACTGATGGGACAGATTTCAAAATTTAATGTAGATTATTTCCCATAGAACAAACACCAGAACTCACAGACTGAATTATTACTCTTTCACATATAACATTTATTTTAATAACTGAAAATATATCTAGGAAAGATATTTTCAGTTGTATTCATTCTTAATGCCGATAAGATTGCTAAATTCCGATCAGTAAAAAGTCTTACTATCTTTTTGTGACCTACACTAATAAGTCCGTTCATTTTAAAAGTAAAATAACACTACACTTTGAGAACTACTTTGATTAAAAGTAAGAGAAATATAACAGACCACTGGAGTTAAACTTTCTTAACTGTAGCTATCCCGAGTACTTACTCTAAACCGAGGGTAGGGTTCACGTGGAGTTTCCCCCACGTAAAAGATAGGGAAGCTGGCGCCCGAGACTCACTGAACAAAAATAATATAATCTGGAGTACGTTCCTGTGATGTCACTCACCGCCGCTGGCTGCCGAACACCACTGCCGATAAAATAGTAGTCAAGGGTCATCACAAAATTGGCGCCCGAACTGGGACGTCAGTGATGCCAATATTGTAAATTGTAATTCAAATTGTGAATAAACATCCGTTTAGAGTTGGTAGTCTACCAGGGCATCCACAAGTAACGTCTGAACCGACCGTCACCAATAAAACAGAAGTATGCTACAATATTAATAATTTGTTTACAATGAACAATGACAAACTGTTGCATCTGCACTCAAAATAATGCGATTGCCGATTGGTTGAATAGATTTTCTTGAAAAATTACACAAATCATCAACCGGTGAAAGAGAATGCTGTTAATAATTTTTAATTTTACCGAAATTTATTGCCAAAGTGAAGGAAATAAAGTTACTCTGAACAAAATTAATGGTCACGTGGCTTGTAATCATTTATGAAGGCTCTGTATAACTCTGAATCACTTTTCAGTAAGTGGATCTTGTTACATTACCTTCCTTGTGTAAATGAAAATCCGATGAAAGGTAAATGAAGGCCTGTAAAGGCATTATTGGCAGTTGGAGGCAAAGCATCGGACAACCTTATGTCAGCATCGTCGACATCAAAATTTGAAGTATCCGTGGGACTGGATACTTCTGGAATATACGGAGCACTACTTTCCCTAATCGAATCCCAATCTACACCCTCGAACCAAGGGTGATTCTGGAATACCAAGGCATGATATTAAAAAAACCATTCACGTTACACATGTCTGCAATCTGTTATGTTGCATAATGCCTCAGATTACTAAAGAAATATCATTTTTAAAAACCCACAATACTTATAATTAACTAAACTGAACATTTTATTATACCCAATTTAGAAATGTTTTTGTATCACAGTAAAGATATTAGAAGTTTAAACCTGCACAACATCTATCCGTTTCCTGTGAATATATTATCAGAAAGATCTACCTCGTTAAAGGGACCTTTCTGATAATAATTTTCTTAGGTTTATGTCCCTTTGGCTTTACAGTACAAAGCTATCATTCACTTAGTACCAAGATTACAAAGGGAAGCTATGAGTTCTTTGTTGTTTTCATAAAAAATTCTCATCACGGGCATAACTGAAATAACGTACAACATAATTTTGGAAACATTTACTAACCTTGAAATCCTGAATTCCATTCTGTCCCAAACGAAATTCCTGGCTACATATTAGTTGTTTAATCAAATTTTTTGCTGCATCGGAAACTTCTATGTCAGTAGGAAAATCGAAACAGTTTTTATGGTTCATAATCTTTCCATAGGTCTCGACTAGACTCTCGGCATAAAATGGTGTTTCACCAAATAACATTTCGTACATGCAGACGCCTACAAAAAATAAATATGCTTTTAAAGGGTCTGCAACTAAAGAAAAACAACTAAAATGTTTTGAAAATTTACTGTTAAACTACGTTAATATCCAAAAAATTAACAGATTGTAAAATAAAAGTCTTTCCACAGTCATATTAGTTTTGTTTATTGTTTCAATAAATACTATGAAAAATATATTAACGTTAAAACTTACCAAGAGACCACCAATCACATTCTGGACCGTATCTACCTTGGCCATCCTCCATTGCCTAAAATATTATAAAAAATTACATGTTTTGCCCCTCTAATTTTTATTCAATTCTTAATGCTACGAATATATGTTAATTAATGTATAGCTTTACACTTTTAAAGTTACTAATAAAGAATTGGAATATTTTGTAAACAAATTTGAAGAATAAAAATTCTATAAAACAGTCGCTTATTTAAATAAATTAATGTAAAAGATTAAGTTAAACAAATATATTATATGCATAATGTCTCAAGAATAACCCATAAGGGTTAAGACCACCGTATAATTTCTAAAAAATCTGTTTTTTTATCGATTTAAAAGAAAACCTGCTAGAATAAGGGGAAATAAAATTTATGCCTGTACAAAATTTTTTTTCTTTGAAATTCCGAGCTCTTTCCCAAGCGTTACGTTATCAAGGGTACATCTCAAAACTTTAAGGAGGTTCGATACATCTCTTGCGGGGCAGGCGGTACAGGAGGGAAGCTTATGCTTATACACGGGAGTTTAGTTGCAATACCAACCTTACATAAACTAATCTGAGCGAACTAAATATAATATATGCGAATGAAATTTATACAACACATATTAGCTCACATATATTTTTTGTATTTAATGTGCGGCAATTAGGTTTTTATTTGAATAAAAGTGTCTATTTATTCATTAAGAACATGTAAAACTGTAGGTGAAATCTGGCAACATTGCACATCAGTAACGTGTGGTGGTAAAAGTTGGGTCAACTGTTAACTTTGCTTAGCGCATATACCGTTTACATGAATAATAAACATCCAAGATACAAACGAAAATTAATGACTGAAAAGTAATATAAAAGGCATATGAAACAGATAGAATCTGGATTGATGAGGAAAAAGCAAAATGTGCAAACTGACAATCCATGTGATTACTATCAAGAAGCTCAGTGTATGGTAGTGAGACGTCGCCTTGTCGAATTGAAGGTTATGACAGAACATGTATACTGTTCGTTTTACAAAGATACTTTCAATTTTTGTTTCAAATTGCTATTATATTGCATTAGATCACAAAAAATTTATTTAGTATTAATTTTTGCTACATATGTTTTTGACTGGAATAATTTTATAGTCTATAATCCAGCTATTCAAATATAGCATGTCAGTCAAAGCGTTAAATATAGCGTACAGTGTTTCCATATTTCCATTAATTGGATTAGATGTTTGCTCAAAGTCAAAACATTATCTATTCATTCCATTATCTCAATAATTAAGTAGTAAGTGCATATTTTTAATGTTTTAAAATGTTTAGTAATATTTATTTCTACAACTACATTTTTATTTTCCCGATCCTAACCATTTTTAAGAACAATATTCACCTTTGATGAAAGTTTTTTCCCAACCCCCATAAGAGAATGTGTATAACAGCATAATTTTAAATAACATTTTTCAAAAAACTATGTTGGCAATCGATCTGATATTTTTACACGAGGCAGTTTGCATATTAACAGATTTCAATTGCTTTGAAAACTTTCTTACCATTTTTTTTTCAGTATCAAACCTAATTAAAGGGGTTTTTCTTAAAACGCAATTTTTTTAAACGGCACACAGCATAATTCCAATAATTTTCATTCTATTTAATCCAAATTTTAACCATATCTTTAAAATATTCCGAAGACAAGAGATTTTTGATAAGTTAATTTGATATTTATTGACATTGCCCCTTTTTTGTCAAAAATTGAACTTTTTACTTTAAATCCTCGCCAATCACAAAAAATAATGTTTTCAAAATCCCCTATGTATTTTTCTAGTGGTACACGTGAAGAATAAGAGAAAATTTGTGGTTTTTTTTTTCATATTCAAATATGCGTCAGTTATACTGCATGCCACAAACCGCCTCAAATTCAATATGTCTCGCGAGAATGGCTTAAGAGTTTCCATTTTCTATTTATAAATAAAAATATTTTTTTGAACATTTAAAGACATGGTTAATAACATTCTTGAATATTATTATACTCTCACTTTTCATTAAAAAAAAAAATTGCAAAAAAAACATTTTATTTTAAAACTTTATAGTGATGTTACTCCTTAATTTCACTATAATTTTACTGCGGAATATTTCAAGATTATTTCATTAAAAAATTATGACCCTAATCTCAAATTAAATTATACCAAAGGATACTTGCCAAATATACTGTATTAGTAACTATTAGTAGTATTAATATTTTAAGATTGCCTAGATAAAACTAAAACATTCTCATTATGGTTCTAGTTGTAATAGCTGTTTTACATTGACAATTTATTGATCAATTAATGCATGAAGTCGCTTTATCAAGAAATTGGACAAGTGTAATGCACCAAATCTGCTGTCAAATAACTTCATGAATTTATTCATCAAGTTCTTGACGAATTAGAACATGTTCTAATTTTCGTCAATTTCTTCGTGAAGTTCAGAAGTACCAACCCAACAGATTTACACCCTCAGATCAGTAATGAGGTTATGTTATTGGAATATGTAAATAATTGTGTGGCGTCGTACTAGTTTTGCATTGTTTTTACTGATTTGTTACTTATAAACACTAATATTTATATAATATGTGTCAAAACGGTACCGCTGTTGTATCACTACAATTATAAGTGGAAAGGTGACATTTCTGAAATTTATTTGCTTCTTTGATTCATTGGTAGAACTGATTCATGTGTCAGAAAACTTGATAAAGTCTGTAGCAGTGTAAAACCACACTGTTTACCATAAATTCATGAATTAATTCATGAAGAACTTCGTCAATTTATTAATTAATAAATTGTCAATGTAAAACAGTTATTAATTCTCAATTCAGTGGTTGCATACACATTAGATTCGGATCGAAGTCAGTGATTTAGTGACTTTTAAGCTGTGTTAAATTAAGTTTCAGTTTATTTTCATAAAGACTACATCTATCATTTAAGATTACTTTTATAGTATTTTATTATAGCATTTTTAGATCCTGGAATTTTTTAAAGAGAAGTCACTTGTCACGTTTTTAATGGGGGGTGCTTTCATATATTTATTTAAAAAAAAACTTACCCTTAGAATCTCTGGAGAAATATAATCCGGGGTTCCTACTGCTACATTTGATTGCACCATTCCATCTTCATTTAATTTCAAACAACTACCAAAATCTGCTAACCGAATATGACCATTTGCATCTAACAGAACATTATCTGGCTTGATATCCCTAAAATAAGGAAGTTAAAATTGATCGCGGAAAGTAAATTTGTAAAAAAAGGGATCAAATAAGAAAAAATTAGTTTAATAAGTATTGCAGTCATTGACTGGAACTGACTATGGAAATGATTAACATCTACTCAATATGGAAAATAGTGTTCCTAAATTTTCAAACAAATACATATCCTAATATTTTGAGAAAATGAATTTATACAACACTTTTACAGTTGGCTGTATACTAATATAATCTATCTTCAACAATTTTTTCTTCTTTAATTGTATGATTTCGTAAACTAGTTGGTGAAAATTTGCTAGGTAAAAAATCGCGTTTCGATGAGCAGATGCAATCTTTTTTGATATAGCATATATTTTGAAAAGGTATTAAAGAAAGATATTAAAATGTTATCAGTAGAGGATACTGAATTTTATTATATTACTAAAATGTTTGTAAATTTATATTAATATTGATATTTTCACTGTACTAGTTAAACAATTTTCAGGTTAGTTCCAAATCGTCAGTTAGCTTTCTTGATGTTTCGAGAAACATATTGTTCTCTCCTTGTGACTGAAATGTCTCTCGAAACATCAAGAAACTGATGAGCTGAATCCGATCCCTTTCAAAACCGATAAAAACTTATGAGATAAACATACCCATTATCATTCTATTACAGGTGTATTCGATACTACTCACCTGTGCACATATCCAAGATTGTGAATAGAGTCTATGGCTAAGACCATTTCTGCTATATAAAATCTTGCCATATCTTCTGGAAGACGGTCCTCAAATTTACTCAATAACGTTAACAGATCACCCCCACAATAATAATCCATTACTAAATACAAATTAGATTCATCCTGGAATATTTCACACGAAATTGTTAATTATTGTCTATATTTTTAAAATCAATAATTTTCATAAGGCTCATTTTTACATATTACCTGAAATGCATAGTGAAGATGCGTTATCCATCTCCTATCACCATAAACTAAAACATCACGCTCTTCTTTAAAACATGCTGTTTCTGCTCTTTTAAGCATTTCCCATTTATTGAGTATCTTCATAGCAAACACTCTGTCCGTTCCTTTAAATTTTACAACACATACCTCGCCAAAAGCACCTCGCCCTATGACCTTTATTATCTCAAAATCATCTCTAGTTAGTCTCAGCAGTTTGACAGAGTTTGCTACAGGTTTTACTAGAAGAAGTAACACCTTGTTTTATTTTTCAATATAAATATGTTTAGAGAGATAATATTTTCTCTTTTATATCCACATTTTGGACTTGTGCTATATTATGGACTGATAAGTACATTCATAGATTTAAGAGAATGAATAACTGTGTTGACATGTGTTCAGTTAATATTAATAGTCAAGAGATTGAACATTTCAGTACTACTCGTGGATACCAATTTACAAGTAACGGTTTGCGATGGGATGATAAATAAGTGATATTCTTGCAACACGACTCATTTCAAGAGCTTGCGTAAACCGAGAACATAGTTTTGATAGTTCACATATGTGGCATCTGTGCACTAGTGAATCTAGTGAAGAACAGAGGGGTACTATTACAGTACGGAGATGAAAATTGACATTGACAAACCAATTTAGTACAAGTTACCTTATTACAATGTTGCTTCTTTAAATCGGCATTTCAAAAATCATCTACAGTTTCTCAAAATCTCTATATTAACAAAAAAAAAAGCAAACTGTTGAGTAATCTGAGCTACTATGTTTTAGATAAAAAATAAAATCATATTCAAAAAATACATATGATACGAATCTTTACTTACTGATGAAAGTATAAGAATCTATTAAATATTTTCAATTTATTAGTTGAGAAATTTTGTAATTATCTTTAAAATAAGCTTAGGGTTTTAATTATATCAGGACACATCTAAATATAATTCCCAATGTCAAGTCAAAATGTCCTCACAATATCCAGTTAAATAGAAATAAATTCTTGAAGCACAATAAAGTGCTGACCTCTTTAGGCCATCTATTTATTTATGTCCTGGTGACAAGTTATTGGCCCAAATCTATGAATGTATTGTGTGATTTTATTCCATTCATACAGTATAAATATCTGAACAAACCAAACAATTTTTCTTCAATACATCAGATAAACCTACACAGAGCGATTTGTGAAGATAAATCATTATGGTTTAAAGACTGACACCATTTCAACATAAACATGAGAATCATCTTTTAACCCAATTATAACTACAATTTATATACTTATTGTAAACAGAAATCCAAAAAATACATACAGTAGACTCTTGATTATACCCACAACTTAACCAGGCTGCTGATTAACTGGGCTGCATTATATAATTACGGCTTAACCGGGGCTTCCGGAATAACCGTGTTACATGAACAAGCCTGTTAACACAAATGGCGACGAACGGCGAACTTATGCGATGCATGATGCAGCGTCTTCAGTTCTGTTTTGAGTGTATTGAATGCGTGTGGCATTGGTACCTTGTGTCCGTATAATTACATATATATCCTACTTAAAATGTCTACTAAACATGAACGTGTAGTATTAACAATTCAACAAAAGTTAGAAACTATTGAAAAACTTGTAAATGGATGTAGTGTTAAAGCATTAGCAAATAAATACAACATCGGGGCAAACTGTTCATATCAGAAATAGCAAGCATAAATTAATTGCATTTGTTGCCAGAGACGCAGACAAAGTGGTATGCAAAAACGAAGAACTCTAAAATCAGCATAGTATGAACAGTTTGATTGAGCTATTATTGAATGATTTAACTAAGGGGGGAGAATTTAATGAATTTTCTGGTTGGTTATTAAATTCGCAATTTTAACAACTTTATTAAACATGAGCAATTAACAGCCAAACTTATAACTCCAATGAAACTGCCGTGTACTGGAAAACACTTCCTTTGAAAATGCTTGTATCTAAACAAGAACGCAGTGATTCAGGAGATAAATTCTCAAAGGAATGGCGTAGTCCTATATTGTACAAACGCTGCTGGTTCACCATAAACTGAAGTTAGGTGTTATCGGCAAAGAAAATACACCAAGGTCGTTTAAATGGATTGAATTTTCAGAATTACCTTAAGATTATTTTAATCAAAAAGGGGCATGGATGGATACGACAATATTTAAGGAATAGTTCCATCAACAATTTGTACCATCAGTAACAATTGATATTCAATTTTGGTAGGACTTAAAATATAAAAGCTGGATGGTCAAATTTGTGTGCGTTATTTGCCTCCAAATGTTACAGCATTATGATGGACACTAGAGTTATTTCATCCACGAAAAAGATTTATCGCAGTGGCCTATTCGAAAAAATTGTAAAATTGAATATGGATTTAAAGGAGTTCTGGAAGGAATTGACATTGCTTGATATTATCAGACAGAGACAGCATGGAATCGTACAAAGACAGAACTAAGAAGAAGAATTTAGATCATTTTGATGACAATGATGATTCCAACGATGAGTATAATGTGCCACTTGCAGTCTTATCACAAATACTGCGAGCACTTAACAGTTGCCAAAATGTCGATGCCAAAAATATCGAGGAGTGGATGCATGCTTATAGGTTAAAGCAATCAGCTGTGCGAGTGATCACAAAGCATAATGTATACCTATACAGGTTGTTACAAATTCGCTTCTCACTACAGGGATCTCGGAAACGGTAAGAGCTACGAAGTAGCTTAAATGGCGGCAAAGTTGGGTAATCAGGGGACCAACATTATGCCTCTAAAAAATCAAGGCTAACATGATTAGTTTTTGAAATATTTCCAAAAAAACCGAAATTTTGGAAATCCGTTTTTGTTCCATTTTAGCCTTGTTTGAGGTGATATTGAAAAAACACTTTCTCATGGCCACTTTTTGCCCTGTATCGAATGGCATAATCAATTTTTGTATGTAACGTTTCGTCTCTCCAGGACCATCATCAACTTCATTTTTTTAAATACGACCCTAGAAATTTTATTACATTTTTTGCAAGCCTTCATGATCCCTAGTACTGTACTGCCTCAGCCCGAACCAGATTTAGACGTTTTGTCTCGAAAATTTCATCTTCAGTGTATTTGTTCCAAATTTATCTAAATTTTTTATTTAGATTTCTTTGTTTATTGAATTATCATACACTGTAAGTGTCGTTAGACCCTGTGAAATCCATCATCATCCAATACCAATTTTAAGTAATATTTAGGTATATGGATTCTTTTGAAGAAAGCAATGTTTACGGATTAAATAACAAAAAACTACTATTTATATGTAGATTATAGCTTTGTTCCAAGTGCATTAGAATTAGTTTCCAACAGTCCGACGCAATCGCATTTGATTCAAAACAATGGATTTTGAACCTCATGTAAGCATTATATCCATATGCGCATGCGTCTGACTGTTGGAAACTGTTTTGGATTCTACTAGGAACAAAGCTTATATTTTTGGATTTTGGCATTTTACCACTAACTAAATATTTTTCTAAACAACATAAATAAAGAAACAGTTAAATTCAATTTAAAAATAGAAAAGAATAATACTAATGCTATAATTTAAATTTAAAAAATGGTAGTTCTTTAGAAATAAGGTTTATAGGAAACCAACTCACACTAACTGATATCTAAATTTAAATTATAAGAATTTTTAACGTTTAAGAATATTTACTGAAAATAACATTTACATTAAAACAGTTTTTTAGACAACTAAAACTTAAGAGGAAATTGAAACAGGCACCGATTATTTTATCAAATGGTAAAATCTTCCTTGATAGCTACAAACATTAACAGAAATAAGTAATAATAGAATAAATAACATCATATTGAGTAATGAATGGAAGCAGATAAACAAAGTTTAAACTGTCAAACATATTTTAAAAAAGTCATTCTTAGTTTTGAGAACGAAAACAAATTCCTTTTTGAAACATTAAGTAACTGAAACGTATGTGCATTTTTTACTGTCTGCATTTTTCAGTATGGATTATTGGCTAAGCAAACAATTCTTGACAGATTCTTTTGACCTATGGGTCTGTTTTTTTCCACAGGCACTCAAATAAACAGAAAAAGAATGTACAATTTACTGTCAGACCCTACTTGTGATAAACTTACCATATTCAATAAAATCCGAAACAGTTTTTTCCTTACGTAGGCTGGAGATACAGCATTCATCGTATAAGACTATAAGTAAGTCTAGTAGGGTTTCGATACTGAAACTAAGTTCCTTTCCCAGAACAGGGCCCCCTAGGAATAATCGTTCAAGATGCTTAAGCCGGTGTTCTCCAGGAGCACCTTGCATGGCCCCCACAGTCGTTTCACTCATCTGGCAATTTCATTAGTACCTGCAAACATCCAACAATTTTTTTTTAAATAAATTTTCATCAAATAATAATCATTTCCTAATAGTATCAAAGTTTAAAATTTTAATCACCATTCCGAATAAAATGTACAAACTTTCTATCGACCATTTTATTTTTTCACCAAATTTTATGCAAAGTGTCCTTTAAATATAAGCAGGTAAATGCAGAGGTTCTATTTGTTTATTTAACAAGTTCAAAATGAAAATATTTTTGGATTCTTGTTAACCAATTTAATACAACAAAAATTATTACCATTATAAATTATGTTAAAAATATCTAATTCTGACAATAGAAAAAACCAGTAGGTAATTAATTAACTTCTAAAATATGTACTATCAAAAGACGACTCAGACTAAAGTTTTTATAAAGGTAATATTTTTTTATAAAAAATTCTATTCTTATTCAATATACATATTTGATATGATTAAATAAGATATTTTTTTGTTTTAATATCAATAGTGCTTAATTCAGCACATTTTATAATGCAATTATCGCGTATTAAAACATTAAATTTTATTGTTTTATATCCTTTGATTTAATTACTTATAACCACTTATCATCTTTTCCAACGAAAGTGATTTTTCAGCAACATGAATCATTTTGAAACTTTTTTGATAATTGTTCATTTATTCTGCCTCATCTCAACTCACCATGCTAAATTATTTTATTTTTTTTTTAATTTCTACAATAAAACAGCTGCTTTAATCCTCCTTGACATGGTGTTGTAAAGTATACCTTATACATTGACCGAGACATTGACAATTATTTTCTCTATGATAAAAGTTACTTATATTTCTGAGAATATTGTTAGAAATATATACAAGGCGTAAATAAATAAGTGCAAAAAAATTCAGGGAGTGATTTCTTGTCGAAAAATAAGGTGGGTCTCATATATCTCATTTGAACATCACTTATGAAGATACAACCGCTTAAGGAAGGTGCTAAAAAAGTAGTTTTTCATTTTTTTCTGAAATACCAAAAAAATGAAGAAATGAAATTAAGTAGATGTTCTCTCCTATCGAGAAATCACTCAGTAAACAATTTGTTGATTTTCCCCTATGGTTGTAAGAAGTAAAAACATCCACCCTTAAGACTAGTTTCATACCATAACTTAACATAGGGTACAAATTTTATAGAGCTGTAATTTATCTAGTAGGCGGCTGTCACCTTGACATTTTGTAATGGCAACTTAATTGTTATATGTAATTAATTAAATAATTTTATTAAATATGTGAAAATAATAAACAAAAATGAAATAAATAAACAATATCTGGTAAACCAAGACCCAACCCAAAATCTTATGAGTGAAAAGATAGAATAAAAGAACTCTCTATCTAAAAAAAAATATTCTGAAACTATAGGCATACTAAAAAAAAATTGAAGGGATCCATGGGTCCTACAATCCTCCTCTCCGTTTGCGGTTTGATATTTTAGACCAAAATTACACAGAAATTTTCAACTAAAGATAAAAATATGTGCCAAATTTCAAACAAATATCTCTAAAATCACCGCAGATACCCAAAAAAATATTTTTTTAAATTTTGACTTTGACACCCTGTATTCTAAAAATAGAGCTCCAAAATGAAAAATGGCATAAGAAAGTCCCATTATTTAATTCCAAAAAATATGTGGTTAACAGCTTGACCTACTAATTTGTAACACCCTGTATATTAATATTTACATTAAAACAATTATTTGCATGAGGTCGTTTTTCTTGAAAGTAATACATTTAAAGATACTAATTAAAATATGAGGTGACTGATAATACTTTTATTAGAAATTGAATTTTAAACACATCCCTCTACCACACCTGAAGATTACCACTCATCATCCACCACTTCATGTTATTAGCATAAATAGAAATGATTAAAATAAAGGTTTTGGCCTTCAGAATATTAGAAATAACTATATATTTTATTTTGTTTATTGTGTTTCGTAAAGAACTTTTCTGTTAAATACTCATAAATTGAAACCTTATTGAAAATTAACTAGTAAGCTACCTACTGTAATAAGTTTGTATGTTAGAAAAGTCACTAGAAAAGCAATATTTTTAAATTAACGAAATCCTTAAGAATTTGTTTCGAAATGTCAGAATGTATATAATATAATTATAGTCAATAACAGAATGCAATAATAGTATACCTATATTATATATGTTTTTACTGATAATATAGCTGTAACTTTTTCTTTATATCTAATATGTAAGTAAAATCGATATGGTCGGAAAGATATACTCATCTTTTTAATGAATAGAATAGAAAGTTTTATCTAATGTCAAAATTAACCATATAAATATAATGGATATATACTTAATTAAACAGTGACGGAATAAAATGTTAATGCCAAATTGACTTTATTGCCAATAAAATAATTTATTGGAAAACTAGATAAAGAAAAAATAAGTAATAGAAAACGAGGAAGATTAACCTATATCTACATAAAATATTTCAGTAAAGACAATACATTTATTACAAATATCAACCTTTAAAAGGTTACGTGAAACAATAAATATAAACAATCATTAGAATCACCTGTATGACGCCGATTAATGATAGATTTTTATCACTTATCATTTAAATACACTTCAATAATAACTTTTGGTAGCCATTTTTGTAACTCCCCCACTGTGATCACAATTCACACATTCATCGTTTTATGTATTCGTTTACATATGATTTATATAATTTTTTTAATAATGAAATGAAACTTTTAAAATATGAAGATATCACTTTTATTTATATCTGCATAGCGGAAAACTATATTATAATATTTTTTTTATAGTTTCCCAAGATCATTGCCACCTGTTAACAGAATTATGTACTACGACGAATAAACTCACTAAACCTACACTGGCTTTATAAGGGATAGTGACAACAAAGCTATATGTCAACATTTTTACGCCTGCTTTAGATGAAGAGCGCCACGCACCATTATTCCATGGCTAGAAATTGGCCTCAATGATTTGGGATCGAGGGGGATTATCCCTCTTTATCCTGCCTCATCTCGTGTAGGCCT